GATGACCTTGCGCTGAGGATACGGTGCCATGCGCTGGAAGAGGATGCGCCGGTTGTGCTTCAGACTCCTGGACTCGTCCCCCTCTTCGACTTCCCGGGTGAACTCGACCTGTGGGAGGGAAGGGGGGAAGAGGCGGCCTGCTTGCCCTCTTCGCCACTCTGGAAAGTGGCCCAGTTCATTCTCCAACGGCCAGCCCTTCCCCGCTTGCTTCTACCTCCCCTTACCTGGATCGGGTACACGGCTGCGTCACGGACAATGAAGGGCTTCACCTTGAAGGCTTTGCTCAGAGCAGCTGCCTGGTAGACGGCACCCATCGCAGCAGCCTCATCAGCATTGATGTTCTTCCCCAGCTCTTCCCTGGAGAAGATGGAGGTGTTGCCCTTCAGCTCCACCAGCGAAGTGGAGGACCAGTTCTCTCCCCCCCTCCATTGTTAGCTGTGCCCCACTTTAGAGGAGATAATGCCTGGGTGGGGGTCCCTGCTCCTCAGCCAGCCGGAAAGAGCTGGCCTCAGTTTCCGTTCCTGCAAGACCAAGGTTCCCAGGCCAGCCAGGAGAAAGCATTGAGCTGGATGAGCCAGAATGGATGCCTTGGGCAAGGTGTGACTGGCTACGCTGAGCCATCTAAGGAGGCAGTGGGGAGGAGGCAAAGGAAGCAACCTTACTTGCCAACTACTTGTAACAGAAATTCCTGCACCTTCGGCACTCGGGTAGCCCCTCCGACGAGGATCACTTGGTCAATTTCATCCTGAGAGTGGGAGAAAGGGACAGAGCCTGTTCAGGAGCCAGGCTCAGCCTTGCTATCCGATGGTGAAATTCTGGGTGGTCAGCAGCAGAAGCACTTTTACTGTTATGTATTTCTAATTAAGGGTGGTGCGAACTCAGAACAAGAAATATTCCAGTTAACAAAATGATGTTTTCCAAGTAGAAGGAGCAGCTGCTGTGCAATCCTGCCCTGTTTCGTCAGCTAATAACTGGTGGAGCCCTGCGACTCCCAAAGGCTGCATCCCACCACTCCTGTACCTACCAGGCTCATCTCTGCGCTACTGAGGGCCTGCCGGACGGGTCCTGCTACTCGCTCGAACAAGTCAGAACACAGATTCTCAAACTCTTGTCGGGAAACCTTGGCCTTGAAATCAATGTCATCCAACAGACCCTCAATCTGGAAAGAAGAAGAGAGAACCTGAGAACCCCAAACTCACCACTTCAAATCCTCTAGCGGAAGAACTGGTGTGGGAGGCTCCCCTTCCTCTCAAAGCCACCACCAACTTTACTGAGCTGCCAATCTCAGGCCCCTTGTGCCCAGGTGCAGTCAAGAGCTCTGGGTGCCACCTGCCTGAGCCATGTGGTCCACATTAGCACTCAACACTGTTTTCACCCGATTGGCTTCCTTCAGCAGCTTGGCCATGGCACGTAGATTCTGCCGGACATCCTTGCCCGGATGCTGCTCATTGAAGAGCTTGGCCAGGTGGTCACGAAGGCGCAGCTCCATCTGCAGCCCTCCCAGCGTCCTATCAAAGCTGAGCAAAAAGAGCCAAGGGCAGAAGGACATTAGTGGGAGCTACTTGTCAATAAGTCTAACCCTGACTCCACTCCACCCTCCCACCCGAAGCTTGGCCTCTGTTCCCTTCCCTCAAACCTCTGACTCATTTGCACATCTCTTTCCTTCTGGCTTGCCAGAAAATGAGAGATCAGATTTCAAACAGAAACTCTTACCCAACACCCCTGATCTGCAGCTGAGGTTGGACCCCCGAGTCCTTGGTCTTCAGAGTTTGGTAGGTCACAATGGTGCAGACGGTACTGCCTGCCCCCATGTCGTAGAACATGATGTTCTGAAAAGAGAAAAACATTGCACTTCAAAAAGGCCCTGGAAGAGGCATTCAGAATGACTCCTCTAGGAAAAGGATGCCAGCAAGTCAGTGTGCGGCCTGCCCAGCCCGGCTTCTTCTCTACTGCCATGCTTGTCATGGAGATACTGCGGACAGGGCCTAGAAACCTCTACAGGCATCTATTTCTGAACTACCATTTTATGTGTGGCATTTCTACTTTGCTGGGCTCTTACAGTCTTTTTTCCTCTATAGGATCGTGGAAGCTGTGGACCCTCAGTTTACAAAAAGAAGCAGGCTGTCCACAAAGCTAGAAAAGGCAGAAGGAAAGAGAAGAGGATAACAACCAGCAGCAAGGTGGGATGTACTTAATTCGTGACAATGGGTGTACGGAGAGAAGGACCGGGTTGGGAACAAACCACCCTGGGAAAAAATCTCCTTCTGTGGTTGCTAAGAGCCAGCACTGTCCTGATGGCACATAATCAATAGGCAAAAGCTTCATCTTGAGATTGTTGTCTCTGAATACTGCACCATCCAGTTTCCCCCAACCCACCTGAGCTGTGGCATTGATGTCTTTCCTCCGGAAGACGCCGTAGTTCAACGCCACGGCAGTGTTATCGTTGATGAGCTGCAGAACCTTGAGATCGGCCATTTTGGCCGCATGCATAACGGCTCTCCTCTCTGCTTGGTTGAAGTATGCAGGGACAGTGATTACTGCATCTTTGACTGGTTGCTCTGAAGGAGCAGCGAAAGCAGCTCGTTAGTTCACAGTTCACATACCTTTTAACTTCTTGTTGTTTCCTTCACTTGCGGGCAATATGTAACTTTCAAAATGGATCATCTCATTTTATTTCAGCAAAATACTATTTAGCTAACACGTTATTGCTAAAAACAACTCAAACATCAACAACAATAAAACAAAGATCTAAAATTATGCAATGCTTGCAGCATTTTTGATAAGTTGCTGCCAAAAGCTTGCCATAAAGTTAAAATAATGTTAAAACTGATTGCACCCTCCAAGTGTCTTCCCCAAGAATCAAAAATTAAAAATAAGGAAAGTAAGGACACCCTCCCCCCCATTTCTAAAAGCTTGAACATTGCAAAGGGATGCGATTGATCCTGAAAATGCTTGTCTCCTCTTCCTAATATTTCAGGGAAGAAAGCCCGGTAAGCAAACTATTATTGCATCCTAACTAATCTCATTGCTCTGTACTGCTAGATGGGGCTAATAGAAAAAAACTTAACTTAACCACCCGGAGAATCACTTCCCCAGCCTTTCGCCCACATCCATTTCCAAAAGTAAATTCTCATGCTTCAATGTATACACAAAAGCAATTCCAACCTGCAAAATCCTCAGCCAGTGTCCGAGAATAATTCAGGACCATACCCAGCATCTCTTCTGGAGAATATTGCAACTTGCTGCAAAAAATAAGAACAATCAAGTCCCCTTAAAGATGCTTGTAGAAATATGTTTTGCAAGGAACTAGATTCTATCCATGTAACAACTGCAAATGGTTCAAATCCCATTCCTTGAATAATGATAGGCAGGTGCCTACCTCCCACCACAGTTATTCAAACAAGCACTTGGGACATCTGACCAATGCCCAGAAGGAAAAAGGTAAAATAAAACGCAGGACTCATTTCCAGGAGGTACAAAACTCTCCGAGTCAACTTGGTCACTGTGCCTGAGCAGTGCGAGAGACTGTCTGTGGATACTCACTCTGAGAGCCTAAAGATGACCGTCTCCCTCCTTGCATCTTTCTCCAGCTGATGCTCTGGGAACCGTGACTGGTACCGAGCCACTTGGGGGTTGTCAAAATGTTTGCCCAGAAGGTCTTGGAAATAGCGGAATGTGACCTTTGGAGTTTTAATAGCCTGTAAAATGAAAGTGCCACAACAGACAATGCTCAGTGGCAGCAATGCTTTTTCCTCACAATAAAGCTCAAATGGAGCCATTTCAAAATGCCAAACCTCTCTCTGCATTTTGCAGCGTGAATCCAAAAGAACCTGCGAGCTGCTTAATGGCCGGAGCGGGTGGAACAAAATAAGAAGAGGCAAGGCAGAAGGGACACAAAATCAGTTCAAGAGTGAGTGAGAAGTCTTTAGAGCTGCCTGAGAGCGAAAGAGAGCAGGAGACCCAGGAAAGCGGGTCTGAGGGCTTACCATTCCTGCTGCGCTGTCACCAAAGAGCCGCTCGGTCTCCTTCAGCGCCACGGCTAGTGGGGTTTTCCTGCGAGACTCCCTAGAGCAAGCAAGGCAGCCAAGTCAGTCCCCACGAACAAAGCCGCCTCCCCAGAACTGAGGCCGAGGCCGTAACCTCGGAGGAGGAAGGGCTTCCCGGCTCACTTGTTTAAGACGATTTCCATCGGCACCCCGGGCTTGACCAGCGCCACCTTCATGGACTCGCTGCCCAGGTCCACCGACATCACAGCCAGGGAATCTGCAGCACAAAAGCCTGGCTCGGCTTCAGCTCTTCCACCAGGAGCGCCGGGGCCTCGATTTGGCCTCGGCCCCACGGAGGGCGCCCCAAATCTTAGCCCAGGCCAAGCCCGGGCCCAGCTCAGCTGCTTAGCGAGGTGGAAGGTCGCCTGGCTAGAGACGCCCCCTCCCCTCCCCTCCCCTCCCCTGCTCCCTCAGCCTCCCGGAGCCCCGGGGCACTGAGCGGCCCGCGACGGTTGGGCCCGCTGCTTGAGGCCGAGGGCGGGCGGGCGGGCGGGCCTGCGGCGGAGGCGCTCACCGGAGAGCGGGGGCAGGCAAGCCAGCGCCACCAGCGCCAGGCGGCCGAGGAGCGGCAGGCAGGGCCTCCGGGGCGCGGGAGCCATCCGGACGAAGCGCGGCTGCTCGGCTTCCTCTGCTGGCGGCGGGGCGCGCGGGGCGGCGGCGTGGAGCGAGCGGCTTCCCGTGCGATGTCGGCGGCCGGCGCGGCGTGTCTCCCTCGGCCGAGCTGCTCCTTCCGCGGCGGCAGCGACGCGCCTCCAGGCAGACGCGGCGGGCGCTCATTGGAGCGGCCACCCGCCGCGCGCCGCCATTGGTCCACGTCCCCGGCGTCGCGCTTCTCCGGCGCCCGCCCCCGCCGGAGGAGCATCCGGGGGCGTGGCCGCGGCGAACTTCAGTCCCCAAGAGACCCCGCGGCGGGGCGGCGGGCCTGCGGAAGTGCCCGTCCGTCACCCGGCCGCCGCGGAGCCCCGCCCCCTCCGGTCCCCCGCCAAGATGGCCGCCTATCTGCAGTGGCGGCGCTTCGCTTTCTTCGACCGGGAGCCGCTGACGGACTGCGGCGGGACCCCGGTGCTGCTCCCTCCGGGCATCGTGGTCTGCGACTCGGGCAGGGGCAGCCTGGTCTTCGGGGATATCCTTCCGTGGCCGCGTCGCGCGGGGCGGGCGGGGGCGGCGCGGGAGGCGGGCGGCGCCGGGCGCCCTTCCGTGGAGGCCCCTTAACCGCAGCCCACATTGGGAAGGGCAGATCTGGTTCCTGCCGCGCTCCCTGGAGCTGAGCAGCTTCCAGGCCTACAAGCTGCGGGTGACGCACCTCTTCCAGCTGAAGCAGCACAGCATCCTGGTGTCGGTGGGCGAGGAGGAGGAAGGGCTGAATCCCCTGGTGAGCCGGAGCTGGAGGGAGAAGCTGAAACCTGCTTTTCTGCCCCTTTCACTGAAGATCTCTGCGCTCGTCCAGAGATTTCCTTTTGAAATCCTCAGGCGGTTGATTTGGCACGAAGGTGTTCCTCCTCTAAAATCCTCTGGGCGCTTATCTGTTGCCCTAACAGAAGCAAGGCCTATTGTCCTGTCTCCAGACAGAGTGATAAGACCAGTCAGTATAAAACAAGGATACAGTTAAAAGGAGGTAGTATAAATGCAAAATATGCAAGCCAAGAAACCTCATGCAAAACTTACCAGTGCAAACATGTCTATATTGGGGCAAGATAGTTTCCCTAACGATCTCTTTGTGATTATTTGTAGGTCAAAGTCTGGAATTTAGAGAAACGTGAGGGTGGGACACCTCAGTGCACCAGGATTTTCCCTGCAATACCAGGCAACAAACTCACGCTGGTATCCTGTCTCACCGTCCATGAAAATCTCAACTTCATGGCTATTGGTAACTAGAGTTGCTATCGTGTATTCCAAACATTAATTGGAAAGTGAACTTGGAAGAGAAACACTTGGGGAGGCGGTCTGTCAAAGTATTTTTATACCCTTTTTGTTAAAACCTGATGTAGGTTACAATTGAAAGTTGTACGTGGGGGCTCTGAAGAATATCCCTAAACGTCAGCTGGTGCGAAATGCAGCAGTGTGGGCTACCTTGGTTACCAGTTTGTTTCTGGATCTAATTCCAGGCGCTGGTGTTGAGTTTAAAGAGCTACGTAGTATGGAATAGGTCACCTGAGGGCTCCGTTCAGCTTAGAAGAAGAAGTAGTGGAGAATGTTTCTGAGCTCTGGATCTTGTTTCCCTCTTTCTCGTAGGCTTTGTGGATGGGAGTGTGGTGCTTATCAAGGGGGACATTACAAGGGATCGGCATAGTAAAACTCAAGTCCTACAGGAAGGAGGCCACCCAGTTACTGGGCTTGTATTTCGCCAGTCAAGCAAAACAACTCATCTGTTTGTGGCTACCACTGAGAAAATCCAGGTAGGCTGTTGGTCTTTGGGGCAGTGAGGATGTGGCAGAACTCGGGTTTGACCCACTCTTTGCCTGATTGGATTTCTGTCGTCACTACTACCCTTTTCCTCTTCTTTGGCTTTGCAGTGTTACACGCTCTCAGTGAAGGATTGTCCACTGCTGGAACTGGACATGCGTGGCTGTGGACTGCGCTGCTCCACTCTTAGTGATCCCTCCCAGGACCTCCAGTTTATAGTGGCAGGAGATGAATGTGTATATCTGTACCAGCCAGATGAGCGCGGGCCTTGCTTTGCCTTTGAGGGTCAAAAGCTGATTGTCCACTGGTATCGAGGCTATCTGATTATCGTGTCGAAGGACTGGAAAGTATCTCCCAAGTAAGTTTGTTTTATTGCTGGGATGGGGTTTTGGACACATAGATGAAACACCTCTAAATACAGGTGTGTTTCTGAACATTCCTAATTCTTGTCCTTCATTTCTCCACATGTAGCCAAACAGTTTCAGCTTTGCTTTCCAGATTGTATTGAAATGTATCTTCATTTTCTGAGAGTTGTAAATAAGTGATGGAGAATATAATTGCCATTAGGTACCTTAAAGTACATGACTGATTTTGGAAAGACTCAGTTTTCAGTAAAATTTAAGGTATCAAAGTTTATGAAATTATTTGATAGTTGTGTCTACACTTAAAAGTGTAGACCAGCCCATTGTCTCTGCTGAATGTATCACTCCCTTTTTCAAATAGTACAGCCCCTTGTTGGTGTTACTGTTTGAAAGTGTGCAGGCAAGTGGCCTATGGCTGAGCCTGCAGCTAGAGCTGCTGTGAACACTTCCTTTATTGAGGGCACAAAAACGAGCTCACAGTCTCTGCATTTTAGCGTGTTTCTGGTTGAACAGCTTAAATGTAACGTGTAAGCTTGTCTTTCGCTTTTCCCCTTCTCTGCTCCAGATCTGAGTTTACTGGGGGAGATTCACAAAACTCTGACAAGCAGATCCTGAATATTTATGACCTGGGCAACAAGTTCATTGCTTACAGCTCTGTCTTTGATGATGTGGTGGATGTCCTGGCAGAGTGGGGATGCCTGTATGTGTTGACGAGGGATAGGAAACTCCATGTGCTGCAGGAGAAGGATACGCAGACCAAACTGGAGGCAAGAGATCATTTGCTTTTTCTGGAGCTCACTGGGGCAGAGATAGAGGAGCTCTTGGGCAAATAGCTGCACCACATGCCCTGATCTGGTCCTCGGGGGCCCAGGTGCTTTAAGGCCTGCCCATTGCAGAATTCTTTCCACACCAACATCCTCACAAGGCTCTGAGGAGGCGGATGGACTTGACAGTCTAAATGCAAAGCGCTGGAGAGAGCAGCTTTGGCTAGAACCTCTGCTTGGAACCTTTCTTGAACCACAGCTTCCTTTTAACAGATGCTCTTCAAGAAGAACCTTTTTGAAATGGCCATCAACCTGGCTAAAAGTCACCACCTGGACAGTGATGGGTTGTCTGAGATCTTTCGCCAATACGGAGATCACCTGTACAACAAGGGCAACCATGATGGTGCTATTCAGCAATACCTCCGGTGGGTAACATTAAAGACTTAGGTGCAGATTTCGCCTCCCTCTCTCATGGGGCTCGGCATCGGTGACGAGGCTTCTCCCCTGGGCTCCTAAAGCTGGGCTGGCATCTTCTTGCATGCTTCTCTTGCTGTCATGTTAAGAGAAGGGTTCACAAGGTGGCAAGTGTGTCCAAATGGGGGCTGTAAATGAGTGAGCATCAAAGTCTCGAGATAAGTCGGAATGAGAGCCGGATGGGTCCTGGCTAGTGAGAGGATTCTTCCTCCTCAAATAAATGGAAGGACTGCCTAGGATGTAAACAAATCGTGGGAGTTTGGAGACCTATGGCCTGCATCAACTCAGGGTGGGAGTCTCTTTAGCAGGATTTGTGCTGATGAAGCCTTCCGTTCAGGCCTGCTTCATTCCCTCCCTCTGCTCCCCAAACTGGCCTTTGCTTGCTTCCACTGCAGTGGCGCCAGTGGTTGCAGCTGCTCACTTGTTTGTGACCTACATCGTTTAATCCCAGCAACTGGGACTTGCGTTCTTTTCTTAGCACTATTGGGAAACTGGAGCCTTCTTATGTCATCCGTAAGTTCCTGGACGCTCAGCGGATACACAACCTGACCGCCTACTTGCAGATGCTCCACTTGCAATCGCTGGCCAATGCAGACCACACCACCCTGCTGCTGAACTGCTATACCAAGCTGAAGGACATCTCCAAGCTGGAGGAGTTCATCAAGGTGATGGGGCAAAAGAACCTCCATGCTTTTCCTTCTAGACACCAAATGGCCCTTCTCTATGAATGGCTTCCATGGATGGGAGTCCCTGACTTTTACGGGTGTCTCTTCTGGCAGGGAAGCTTATGCTTATCAGTTTCAGGTAGACTGGTTGGGTTGATGTTCTTTACTTGTAGTCTTCTGAAAAATTTAGTCTGTCTTCTCTGCCCAAGTTGCCAGATGTGCTAGAGTTTTCCTGGTGCAAATGCAGAAAACCTTGTGAAATGAGATGCATCCTCCCTCTGGTGGGCATGTCACTTCAGTCCTGGAATTAGGAAACTTTGGAAAACTTGCCTTTGCAAGGGAAGAAACCAGCTATTTTCTCCTCCCTTCAGCTGATGGGATGACTAAAGTAGAGTTCTCTTTAGGGATTGGCTCTTTCTGGGTTTAACTTTGAAGAGAGTGAGCAACGAAGGTCTTCCTCCTCCTTTGCAGTCTATTTGGCTCCAGACATTTGGGCATAAGGGGGTGTGGAAGGCTTAGCTGGCTCAGTCTGGAGTTTCCAGGGTTGACTCGATTCTCTTTGTCCCTTCTGTAGACCAGTGAGAGCGAGGTGCACTTTGACGTGGAGACAGCTATCAAGGTACTTCGCCAGGCAGGCTGCTATTCACATGCTGTGTACCTGGCTGAGAAGCACAAGCACCACGAGTGGTACCTGAAGATTCAGCTAGAAGATATCAAGGTGAGGCCTGCCTGGTTGCTTCTGGACTTCTCGTTTGGCAGCCAAGGATGTTAGATGCTAGGAAGGAGGGGAACTGATGAACGTAAGCCTGTTCTGAAATTGACTCAACCTGGAGAAGCATTACCATCAGCATAAGAAAAACCATACGTAAATCTTTTCTCATCGCCTGCTTCCTTGGTCTTGCAGAACTTCCAGGAGGCTCTGTGTTATATCGGCAAGCTTCCCTTCGAGCAGGCTGAGAGTAACATGAAGCGCTACGGCAAGATCCTCATGCATCACATCCCCAATGAAACCACTGAACTGCTGAAGATACTCTGCACGGACTATCGGCCAATGAAAGAGCAAGAGGGTTCTGGCCTGCTGGTGGAGCGGAGGGTATGGGCTGAGCCCTGGGGGAGGGAGAAGTGGTAGGCTGAAGTGGGATTTGGGGCACAATACCAGTTGCCCGAGGGATGGGGCTGATGTGCCTTGAGCCCAATATCATGAAAGGTTTTAAAATAACATGAAACTAAGAGGTGCTAATTTGTGTATAGCTCCCGAGAAGGTTAAAGGTCTTGACCAAGTGGGAAGGGGCAGGCAGGGCACAAAAATCTCGGGCTTCCTGTGAAAATCTCAAGAGTCGTCTTTGTGGTGTTGCCCATTAGAGCAATTCTATTCTCCCTCCTCTAGTTTCATTGCAATGCTTCCTGTGGCTCCCACTGTACCCGGTGGATGTTCCTTTTGGGGAAATTTTGGTGTTCTGGGAGGCAGATGGCTCTGCTTGAGGGTCTAGGAAAAAGTTTGCTATCTGGCTTTCACTCCCTTCTGCTCCCCCTCCCAACTGTTTCATGATGCAGGCAAATCCTGATGAATTCATTCCCATCTTTGCTAACAACCCCCGGGAGCTGAAGGCTTTCTTAGAACACATGTCTGAGGTTCAGCCGGACTCTAAGCAGGGTGTATATGACACCCTATTGGAGCTCCGTCTCCAGAACTGGGCCCACGAACAAGATCCGCAGGTATGTTCTAGGAGATTGTCCAGTGTATGTGGTCATGGGAGGCCCTGGAGTCTGCCTGATGTCCAAGAATGTCCTCTTGGGTCTTCCCAGATCAAAGAGAAGCTGCACAATGAAACCATTCTTTTGCTGAAGAGTGGAAAGTTCCAGGATGTCTTTGACAAGGCCTTGGTCTTGTGCCAGATGCATAACTTCAAGGATGGGATCCTTTACCTCTACGAGCAGCACAAACTGTGAGTGCAGATGAGCGAGTCCTTTGTTACTTGGGAAGGGGAAAGAAGGCCGGCCAGTTTCAAACCCTCCGGCTCTTCACCAACTCTTGTCCGCCCCCCTCTGTTTCTCTTCCCTCTCCAGTTTCCAGCAGATCATGCATTACCACATGCAGAACGGGCAGTACCGGCAGGTGGTGGAGGTTTGCGAGCTGTACGGGGAACAAGAGGCCTGTCTTTGGGAACAAGCACTTGGCTACTTCGCCCACAAGGAGGAGGACTGCAAGGAGTACATGGCGGCTGTGCTCGCACGCATCGAAACCAAAAATCTCATGCCGCCTTTGCTGGGTGAGCCAGACTCTGCCTTTGGGGTCAGGGTACCGACAGCAGGCGGTGAGCTGAACCCCAGCATCTTCTTTCCCGAGCCAGAGAAGATGCAGCTTAGCCTTGCCCATCCTGGGTGCGGGGATTTTATGGAAGTTGGTGATGGGGAGCAGTTTTCTGCTCTGCAGATATTAAGGGCTCACAATACAGACTGATTATAGATGTGGGTGGAAAATGAGCAATTAACCCTACTGACAAAAGTTACCAAGTTTTGACTTGTCTTCATCTAGGAGGTCTCTCACACCTGGGCAACCCTGGCCTTGTACAGCAGCCCCTGCTCACTTGCTTCTTCCATGCTGGGTGTGCACTTGAGGGAGAGAAGTTCAAAACCTGTGCCCCACTGCCAGCCTGGGAATGGGGGTGGGAAAATATCTTGTTGGATTTTAAAATAGTAAAAGGCTATTGTACTAATTTAATCCATTAGATAAACAGTACTTTTTTCCAAAAGGTGGGAACCCCTCTCCTTATGCACAGACAGAGACTTGAGAAAATGATAAACTGGGAATTCGCCCAATCCAGTTCTCATGATATATTTTTTGGGGGGGGGGTTATTTGCTGTTTTTTATGTTATTTTTGTTACTTCTAAACTGATTTTGACAATACAGGAAGAGCTAAGTTTATTTTTGGATGGGTTGCTGAAATGGCTGAGATGTAGTCTGGCAGCAACACACACAATAGCAATAGTACTTAGACTTATATATCACCCCGTAGCGTTTTACAGCACTCTGGGTGGTTTACAATATCAGCATTATTTACATATTGCCCCCAACAATCTGGGTCCCCATTTTATTGGCCTTGGAAGGATGGAAGGCTGAGTCAACCTTGAGCCTGTCAGGGTCACACTCCAGACTGTGGGCAGAGTTTGCCTGCAATGCTACGCTTTTATCCACTGTCCCACCAGGACTCCTACAATTCCCCTGCTGCACTTTTTGAAGAAGCAGTACAGGATTGCTGCTGCGCCCTCCCCTGTCCTCTCCTGTCCTGATGAGTGTCTCTTTTCTAGTTGTTCAAACTTTGGCTCACAATTCCACGGCCACCCTGTCCGTCATTAAGGATTATCTCATCAGCAAACTGCAGAGACAAAGTTGCCAGATAGAGCAGGATGAACAAAAGATCCAGAAATACCGGGAGGAGACCAAGCGGATCCGCCACGATATTGAAGAACTGAAAACAAGGTAGCTATAGAACCTGCTGCGAAATCTGCCCCAGAGTCAGCAGATTCCATCCTGGATTCCATCCATTGCCCTGTTCTGCAGATGATGTGGTGTAGAAATGGAAGTGCTTAATCGCTTGGAAAAAGTTGACCAGAAATCCCACCGTTTCCTTGGAAGGCTGCTGCTTTTGACTTCCCTCCACTGGGTGGGAGTGCAGGCAGTGTCCTCATCTAGGGCTTAGAGGTGAAATGGGGCTGGAGCAGCAGGTTCCAAGGGGGCGCCCCAGGTTTGATGACCTTTTTTCCTCTAGTCCCAAAATATTCCAGAAGACAAAGTGCAGCATCTGCACCAGTGCTCTGGAGCTGCCCTCGGTGCACTTCCTGTGCGGCCATTCCTTCCATCAGCACTGCTTTGAGAGCTACTCGGAGAGTGGGTCGGAGTGCCCCACATGCCTTCCTGAAAACCGGAAAGTCATGGACATGATCCGTGCCCAAGAGCAGAAACGAGACCTGCATGACCAGTTCCAACACCAGGTGAGTTCTTGGGTGGGCTCTGGTGCTTCTAAACAGGCTCAAATGTTTTAGTCCCTGCCAAACATCCTTTTCTTTTGGCCTCTGGCAGCTGAAATATTCCAACGACAGCTTCTCTGTGGTTGCCGATTATTTTGGCCGTGGTGTTTTCAACAAACTCACCCTCATCACAGACCTTCCTCCGAGCAAATCGGCTGCAGCGCTCGATGCAAGCTTGCAACGGGACCTGCTTGTCAAGACAAAGAGGAGCACCTAGAAGTCCTTTCATCCAGATGTGTTCACTTTGTGGAGCTGGGAACTGGCAAAGACAGAGTCCCGTTCAGCACAAACGCCCTGCCAGACAGAGGCGGGCGGGGAAGAAATGTGACTCGGTTGGAGGGACATTAAGCCCGCTTGCTTGCCTCGGCTCCTGGATCTTTGCTCCTCCCCAGGACGGGAACCAGGCAGGGCCGGGGCGGGGAGGGGCATGTGACCTTCTCTGGAAAAAACAGTCCGGCTGGGGCTTTGGCTCCAGGCCCTGTCTGGCTCTCAGGAGGGGCCTGAGCAGAACCTCTAGCCAGGCCTGCCAGAGCCACAACGGCAGCCTCAACCACCGCCTCAGAGAGTAAGAACTGGTGTGACTGCATGACTGACTAAAGGGCGTTGCTTGCACCTGCCTCTGGGCCTTCTTTCACGTGGGCAGGGTGAGTTGAGGGTCCCGGGGCTGGAGGCTTGGCAACTATAGGGCAGCTCGGGGGTGGCGGCCGGGGAAATCTCACTGGGGCAAAGATGTGCTTTCCCGGTGACCGCACATGTGCTCATGTTCAGCTTATAGTCAGTCACTCACACAGTCACAGCCCTGGAAAATTGCCACACTCCAATCACTGAGGCACAAACAGCTCTGTAGAATACATGGAGACCCAGTTAATTTAAAATAACAGCAAACTTTACTGATTACAAAGTATATCTCTTTGGGCACACACACACACACACACACACACACACACACACACACACACGCACGCGCGCGCGCGCTTCAGGACCCATTTTATCCCCCAAGGTCCTTGCTTTGTGGGTGGGGCTCAGGAAGGGGCTTTCCATGTGCTCTGGCCCAACTTCCTTTGTCTGATTTAGGTGACATTTGTTTCTTTTGGTTCTTCAACAACTTGGTTCCTTCTTAGCTATTTTCCCTGGGTGAGCTTTTCCTGGCTTTTGTTCACCTTGCTTATGTGCTTGTTTCACCTTTAGGTATGGTGGCTTAGACCTAGTCCCACACATTCCTTCCCCGACATCAAGTTAAAACAGCAGATGCCACAAAATGGGGCTCCCCCATCAACAAACTCGGAGCATTACAGTTTTTTTGTATGTATCCTTGCCAGTAGGTTTGTTGTCTAGTTGGCATGGAGGTATTATATTTTAAGAAAACATTTAACGCATTGAAAGATTGAGGAGATTAACACAAAGGAAAATAATAGAAAAATTCAAACAATTTTCCTTCCCGGCATCCCAAATCAGGTAACCAAGATGTGATCCAAGAGCTGATCAATCCCTCCAGATCTTAGGAGTGGAGTGGGACAACTCGCTGCTGCCAACTCACCACGGGACAATTTAACTATTCAATTTAATTTAAAAAAATATTTTTTGTCATTCACATTTTGTCTCTCTTTTTGCATCCTTTAATTATTCTGTTCTACCATTTTTTTGATATTGGTGTAACTCTTGTCCCATGGCGAGTTGGCCAGAGCAAGTTGTCTTAGATCCCCTGAAACAGTTCTACAAACACTGTTGTTATAACTGCTCCAGGACGTCTAGGCATTGTCCCAGGAGGAGTATTTGGGAGAATGTAGGCCTTCCTGGCTTGGCTCCTGAGAAACAAAGGAGGAGCAGTGCTAGCCTTGGTTTGTGTCCAGATACACCTGTAGATTAAGCCAAGAGAAAAAAAGGATAAAAGAGGGACTGGGGACATCTTTGGTTTAATGTCACTTGGAATAGCTTAGGAGTCTCTGGAAGCAGCCTTAACTTTGGCAATGTCTGTTCTTATTTCTGCTAAGAGTTTCTAGACTCCCAGTCAATGCATCCTCAGGTTTCACAATGAACACCAGAGTGCATGGGAAACCAAACAGGGTTTCATAGGGATTATATATCCAGCTGATCTGACAATGGGGTTTCTAATGGCTCCTAGAATGGTTGGCAAAGAGTCTGCCGTGCATGTGGGTATTGGAGACAAGTTTCCTTAGTCCCAATTGTGAGGCAAAGGTTTCAAAGAGAGTAATGAGATGTACCCCATCTGTTGCAATCTGGAATGGCGGGCTGCAGTGACAAGACCTGTGGGTTCAACAACCTTGCAAGCGGCATCTCCAATTTTATTGCAAATGGAGAAGGCTTCCACACATTCAGAAAAACCCTCAATGTAATCCAGGAAAATTATGTCCCATGCACCAATTTGTCTTTGCCCATAGAATGGAAGTTGCAACTTAGTTCCTGCTTTGAACTTGGCATTCCAGGCAATTAAAAATGTGCTGACTTCTTTGCCGCTGACTGGGCCACATTACAGCTAGATGTGCTTTCATCAATATTTTCTTGGTGCTCTCATGGGCCACATTATGCAAGTTCAAAATAATCTGCTTCTGTTCCCCCAAGTTAATTTCCCCTACTAAGGGCGTATGCCCGTTGAGCAATCTCTAGCTCTACCTCTCATGTACTATAAGAATTTGACAAGAGTCCCAAACTTTACATCTCTGGTAGAAACAGCAACACAGGTGGTAGTTTTGGTCTCATCATCTCCCCATGAAGGCCCACCAGTAAACCAGATTTCCTTGCCCGTTAGAGAAACTGAAAGGGGCATGAGGTTTTAGATAGTTCGGCCCAAAGCAAAAATTCATGCTGTGTGTTTTGTTCAAGAATGGAAGCAGAAAACAGATCAGAGGCTTAGATAAATTCTCTAGCCTGTAAATTCTCCCATCTGATGTCAATAATGGGCTCAAGGGGGCTATTAAAAGGGGCTTACTGGTTTATTTAGAATACTTTCCTAAGTTGCAAATAACCTCCGTGACCCCCGGTTCAGCAGCCTTTGGTTTGACAAGGCTATTTCTGGGGGTTACAAGGGGCCTGGTGATCTTTGGCCATAATTAACCTCTTGAACCAAAGCGCCCCCCCCTCCCCGTCAGAGGCTGGTGAGGCTGCAGTGGAGGTTTTCTTAGCCAAAGGAAAGCGTTTAACACAAGATGCTTCACTTCGCTAATAGACTTTGCTTAGGATCATTGTGGGTTAAAACGGAAAGGCAATTCCTCGGGTCTTTGGGATGTTTTCCCAGATACCGCCTGGCAGCCCGTGTGCTTTATCCGCCGCAGGACGGGGCAGCCCTAGAACTTGCCTTAAGGGGGTGAGGGATGGCAGGTGGCGGTTCCCTCGGTCTCCTCTTCCCCCTTGATGACTTTCTTCAAAGCTTCTGTTGATCGTTTCAGTTCAGCCTTCGTCTTCTCTCCATTCTCCGCCTCTGATGCACGCCTTCCTTGCCGATTCCCCCCCCCCGCTTTCCCCATATTCGCCCACGTCTCCGCTCCCCCCCTGCCCTCCGCTCCTCCCTCCCCCACAGGCTTCGCCTCCCTCCTCAGCGCCGGCAGGAGCTTCTCACGGATCCCTCTCCGAAGGGGCCGAACCTGACGGGGCGCTGCAGCCCACCCAGCCCCTCCTTTTGAAGAGGGGGGGGGAGGCTGCGGGAGGTCACCCGTCCCCATGACTCGGGGGCTCCGTCCCAGCCGTGGACCGGTCCCTTCCCCCCGCCCCCACGCCTTGAAGCCTCCCCCGGACTAAGCCCTGCGGCCCCTGGAAGCGGCTGATCGGGGCCTCTCCGGGCAGGCGCGCCGCTCGGTCTCCCTCGGTCGGAGGAGCCGCTGGAGGCGGCGTGGATGAGGGCTCGAGGCCCCCCCCCCCCCCCCTTCCCGGGGCCGCCGTTTCCATGGCTCCTGTCGGGGACCGGAAGGGGCGGCTCCGAAAGCCCCGGAAGTGACGCGAGGCGGCCGTCCGGCGAGGTGACCCCGGCCGCGGCTCTCATTCCGCCGGGCACCGCTGCTCTTTCGCCGGCATGAGCGGCCCGCCGCCTCCGCCTCCGCCTCCCTCGGCCCCGGTGAGCGCAGCCCTCCGCCCGGCCCCCCTTCCCAGCGCCGCCCCCCTCGGCCCGCCCCCTCCCCCCTCCCCCCTTATCGCGGGTGGCAGAGCGGGGCGGCCCCGGCGGGCGAGTCGGGCAGGGCAGGGCAGCAGCCGCCCGGCCTCGGGCTGACAAGCGCTGAAGCCCGCCGGAGATGGCCGCGGAGGTGAGGGGCTCGCGGGGCTCACCGGGCGGAGGAGGCAGAGGCGGCCCGGGCCTTTCCCGGCTTCTCCTCCCGGGGAGGCTGCCAGGCGGGAGCTGCCCCTTCTGCCTGCCGGCTCCCCTCCGGGCCTCGCTTTGCGTCTAACGGGAGGAAATTCTTTGCAGAACCCAAAGGCCTCGAAGAGCCAGACCGTCCGCGTGGGCACCCGCAAGAGCCAGGTAGGGCCGCCCGAGCCCCCAAGGCTTTCGACGGCTGATTAGCCTTCCGCCTTAATCCGCACAAGCCCCCGGCCAGCATTACAACTGCGGCAAAGGCATGCTGGGAGAATGAGGGGGGCGACCTCCCTCCCTTATTAGCCTCTGATGCCGTCAGCGGATGGTCTCTTTCCCAAGACCCTCAGGGTGGGGGTGATTGTGGCCCTGCTGTTCCCAAACAAGAACAAGAGCAAAAGCTGCCTGCGGAGCCCTTGGCCGCCTGCTAATGAGGGAGCTGTGTGAGTGTGTGAGAGGGGGCTGCCGGGGGCTCTAAGCAGCTGAGCCACAGAAAGCATTGTAAATTGCACCCAGCTCTTTGAATTGCAACTCTGCATTTCTGCACCGCAGGGTGGTGGGGCAATTCTTGCACAGGAGCAGTTTACGGTATCACCTCTGGTGACTGGGGCACAAAGAGGGGCACTGTTTCTGGCCCTCTAGCAATGATGATGTTATCTATTTGAATAATGAAACTTCTGCAAGAAAACAACCAAGCCCAGAGACCACCAAGGACCCCTCATTTCAAACCTGAGCTACAAATATTCGCCTTTATCGGTACAAAGCCAATAAGGCGTCATCAGCCTCTGCTTGGCTGGAAGGGTTAACTAAGGTTTTGGCAATTAGACCATCCCGAGTAGCTTGAGCAAGCCTTGCTCTCTTTTCTTTAGCGTAGGAAGGAGCACAACCTTTTTGGCTCAAGGTCAGGGTGGAAAGCAAGGAAGGGTTAGGAAACTTGTGCAATGTGACAGTAACAGGAAAGCAACATCTCCAGCCACAGAAATCCAGCATGGCTGCCAAGGCGGAGGCGTTGAAGGATCCACCCAAAGATCCAGGATTGGGAAAGGTTGATAACGACTTGCCCTTGTAACCTAGAGCTAATCTCCACCCGCCAGTTTCTGATGAGAATGGGGAGGCCAGCGAGGAGCCTATCAGAGAGGAAGAGCTGGGTGGATGGAGAAAGGGGAACAGCTCCCCAAGGCCCAGGCACTGCCCTTCCTCTTGCCCACCAGCACAGCCCCCTTCAGTCTCATCTGTTCGGGTTTAATGCCTGTTGGAGTTCAGGTCAGGTTGTCCCAGCATTGTTTTCCCATGATGGTGCCCGATGTCAGAAAACAATGTTTGTGCAAATAGCAGGCCCACCCAGAGGCCATTTCAGCAGATAGAATAGAGGGGCAGGATTGTCCTCTTGCCTGGGCTCTTTGTACGAGCAGCAGAAAGTCTGAGCTGTGCTGATTGCATCTCCTTCGTGACGGCAGGCAGGCAACTGTTGTGTTTCTGATCTGCTGGGGGCCCTTTCTGAGTGCCTTCCTTTCTCAACATTGCAGCTGGCTCGTATCCAGACTGACAGTGTGGTGGAGATGCTCCAAGTGCACCACCCTCATCTCCACTTTGAGATAGGTGAGCATCCGGGGAAAGGGGTCTAGAAGACAGAGAGGGTCTGCTCTTGGGGTGAGGTGGAGCCAGTCCAAGCAGGTATATTAGGAGCAAGATAGGGAGGAGGGCATGTTTACCCTCCAATTTTTCTTTTTCTCTAATAGTTGCCATGTCAACCACTGGAGACAGGATTCTGGACACAGCCTTATCCAAGGTTTGTTCCTCTGCTTATGTAATCTTTTCCACTGGCTTGAGACACAGCCAGGGCTGTCCGGCAGGGCTACGTGACAATAGAGCCCTGAGGGTTTGGGGCAGAGTGGCCCTGCAAGACCGGAAGGGTTCCCATCCTGTTTCTCTTCCCCAACAGATTGGAGAGAAAAGCCTTTTTACCAAAGAGCTGGAAAATGCACTGGAAAGAGATGAGTAAGTGCTCTTCTTCTGAAGGTTTGTGGAACATTGGTAGTCCTGTTGAGATGGATCCAAAGCCCGACTCTCCAGGACCACAGGAACAGGAACGGCCCAGAGTTTCATATGGGCCCCCTGGAAAAGGGCTGCACCCTACTTGATGGCCACTCAGCTTGCCAGGCGAGAAGCCAGCAATGCAATGCCAGTCTCACCGTGGCATGGTGCGGATTGCCTATTGCTGGCCTGGCATGTTTTCTTCTTTCTTTTAGGGTGGACTTGGTGGTTCACTCCCTGAAAGACCTGCCCACTTCCCTGCCACCAGGCTTCACAATTGGTGCCATCTGCAAGTGAGTTTGACTTTTTCCTGCCTGATAAGAGCCAAGCGGTGGCCTTGCCCGCCTTCCTTTTGCTTGTGAACCCAGTCAAAGCAGAGGTGCCTGGGGAGTGTTGCAGGAGCAAAGGGGGCCTTGAGCTGTTTGGGCTGTGGGATCTTCTACCCCTTTACCAATGGTTACTTGAGATGTTTCTGAGGCGTTCTTCCACCATCCTTTTGCAGGAGAGAAAACCCACACGATGCTGTTGTCTTTCACCCCAAACATGCTGGCAAAACCCTCAGCAGCCTCCCTGAGAAGAGGTGAGGACTGGCTGGAGCAGGGGCTTGGCCTTGGTTCCATCCTGAATTGCTGTCTAGCGGGCTGTCTGGGTGTTGTGCCCGCGGGGGGGGGGGCAGGCGGGCGCCCTGCTTCTTGAGAAACAGAATATAGAAGAACAGGACTTTCATACTCTTCTAATCCAACTGCCTGCTCAAGCAGAAGACCCGTCTACCATTCTAGGCAGACGGTTGTTCAGTCTCTTCTTAAACAGTTGCAGCTTGCAAGGGGAGGAGGGAAGACCCTGGGAGACCTTCATGGAGTCGAGGAGGGTTCCGAGTAGCCTCGCTCATCTCAATTTGGGTTTTCCTGCAGTGTAATTGGGACCAGCTCACTTCGCCGTGCAGCTCAGCTGAAAAGAAAATTTCCTCGGCTGCAGTTCAAGGATATTGTATCCTTTCATGATTCAGGAGGGCCCAAGTTCACCCCTATTCATTTGATTTCTCTGACCACCCAAACTTGCAAAGCAACTCTGGCTGGCTTACAATTAGGCAGAAGTCTAAAACTGCCTGCCCACAATGAGGAACAGCTGCTGAAACAAGACAGGCCTTCCTTTCCTCTTTGCTCTGGCCTTTCTTGTGTCTCCAAGTAACTCACAAGAACCGTTAACTGCACCAGTGATACGCTGCCCCAACTCCTAACAAAATTCAGTCTGAGCCACCCAGCTTATCCTGAAGGGGTTGAGACAACAGCTGGTTCTTAACCGTCTTGGCAAGGCAGGTCCTTCAAGGCACCTTTCTTTCTCTGGCCCGAGTTGGGCCTTTTGCAGCTGAGGCTGGCTCCTCAAAGGGGTTGGGGGTGCCCGAAGTTCTCCCTTCCACAGAGGCTTAGAATGACCAGCTACCCCCGCCCAGACCCAGGATTGCAGTGCCCCATCTCCAAAGCTCTTGGTTTTGCTTAGCTTCCCCACAGAGGGGCAACCTGAACACCCGCCTGAAGAAGCTGGACGAGAAGGAGGATTTCAGCGCTTTGGTTCTGGCAGCAGCTGGACTCAGGCGCATGGGCTGGGGGAGGCGCATTGGCCAGGTGAGGGGATTGGCATTTGCCCTTGGCTGTCCAAGCAGAGGGGTGTTTAATACTCTACTTTAAAAGGTAGCCTGTTGCTGACTCTCGCTTCTCTCTAGATTCTGAGCCCCGTGGACTGCTTGTATGCGGTTGGGCAGGTGAGTGATGGGACCTCCCTTCTGCCTGGCCATTTGCACCTCCCAGGTTTCCTTTTGACAATGGAGCCCCAAGCCTCTCCACTCTGGTCTCTGGAGAATCTCTAGATTGGATGTCTAGTATTCTGGGCCTTTCTGCCCCGTTTCACCCCCTCCCCCCGTGCCATCCCAGCTCAGATGCCTGACATGACTGTGCCTCTGCCAAAGGTAGCCTAGGAATGGAACCCCCCCCCAGGAAAGGGACTGTGGTGCAGGTCCTAAGGAGGAGAATGCACTTTTGGGGGACACTGAATCACAGGAAAAGGGTCCCCTCTCCCCCTCTAGGGCGCCTTGGCCGTTGAGGTGCGGGCCAAAGACCAGGAGATCATAGAGATGATCTCAGTTTTGCATGACGAGGAGACCGTCCTGCGCTGCATCACTGAACGAGCCTTCATGAAGCGCTTGGTAAGTCTCTCAGGCCGAGGTTGGTGGGACCCTCTGAAGCATGGCCCAGCAGCCCCATCATGCCTTCAAGCCAATGCTTTCCTCCACAGGAAGGAGGTTGCAGTGTGCCAGTGGCCGTGAGCACCGTGCTGAAGGATGGCCAGGTAAAGGCACCTGGCTGCTCCCCCTCCTGCTTCCTGGCTTCCACTGAAAGGCAGACACCACCAGAGTGCAGGGGTGTGTGTGTGTGTGTGGAAACAGTTGAGAGCACCTTTTTTAAAGGAACTAAAATGGAGGATGGCTGCCCACAAATGCTAGCATTTCTCTCCATTCTGCTTGCTGATCAGTTTCAACATCCCTCTTCTCTCCAGCTGTACTTGACTGGAGCCGTCTACAGCCTTGATGGTTCTGACAGTTTGCAAGAGACCATGCAAAGAAATGTGAATTTTTCCCTGGAGGTAACAGTCTTGGTTGCTTTCAGAGCAGGAGGGATTCTTTCAGGCTAGTCATCTAGGATAACGGCACACTTTACTGCAGGGAGCCCATCGGGGCATGTCCTGGGGGTGCTTCCCTATTGTTAGCTGTCAGTTCAACCGGGAGTCCCAGCATGCCACGGCCCTGGAATTCGCCCCAGGGTGAGCTGTGGCTTCTAACCTGAAACCTTTCCCATGGGCTGCCCTTCCTTTTCAGAATGAAGATGGCCCGGATGACAACCCCCAACATGTTGGCATCACAGCAAGGAACGTACCCCGTCTTGCTCAGGAGGCAGCCGAGAGGCTGGGGCAGGAGGTGGCCGATCTGCTGCTGAGCAAAGGGGCCAAACAGATCCTCAGCGTGGCAAGGCAGCTCAGCAGCGCATGAGAGGCACCATCTCCTGGGAGAGCTATGATGCCGGCCAGCTGTCCATCCCTCCCGGAGGAGACGGGAGCAAGGGATGGCCTGCCACTGCACGGCCGGGGGAGCAGCTGAAGTCCAGCTGGTGTGAAGGCACCTGCAGGTTCCGGGCAAGAATCGCCCATCTGCGCAGCCGCCAAGAAATCACTGGTCAGCCTAGACGGAGCTGGAAAGTTGAATTCTGCTGGGGACCCGGGAACAATTATTGCTAAAGCCGATTAAAGAGCTAGAACACATGACAACCCCGAGTCTGGCCCTTCTTCCGCGGGACCCCAACCAACAGCACTCAAAAGGCCCATCGCCACAGGGGGGGGGGAGGGCGGGTAACGCCTGGCCAGGGACCTACCTCGCGACCACCCCCGCGGGGCAATGCGGCCGGGCTGGAGAACCCCTCGATCCCCCCCCCCCCCCCCCCCCCCCCCCAGCTTGGGCTCGCGGAGGGACCACAAACGACCGGGCGAGCGCGCGTTTTCAACGTCCTTTTATTGGGTGGCGGAGCGCGGGCAGCCGCTTCCCGCCGCCCAGTCCCGAGTCCAAGCACGTGGCGCCCGCAGGGGGTCCAATCCTCCGGCTCGTCCAGCTCCGCGTCCTCGGGTCGCTCTCCGGTGCCGCCGCCGCCGCCGCCGCGCCTAGTACTCCTGCGAGGCCTGGAGGGCGCCCTTCTTCCGCCCCGCCGTCCCGCCGCCCTGGGCCGCGGCCTTCCGGGGCAGGAGCGCGGCGGGGATGTTGGGCAGGACGCCGCCCTGCGCGATGGTGACGCGGCCCAGGAGGCGGCTGAGCTCCTCGTCGTTGCGCACCGCCAGCTGGACGTGCCGCGGGACGATGCGCGTCTTGCGGTTGTCGCGCGCCGCGTTGCCCGCCAGCTCCAGGATTTCGGCCGTCAGGTACTCCAGCACCGCCGCCAGGTACACGGGAGCGCCGGCCCCGACCCGCTCCGCGTAGTGTCCGCGGCGCAGCAGCCGATGCACGCGGCCCACCGGGAACTGCAGCCCGGCGCGCGACGAGCGCGATTTCGCCTTGGCCCGCGCCTTCCCGCCGCCCGCCTTGCCGCGACCCGACATGGCCGCCGCCCTCCACGAAAGCCCGAAGCCGCCGACTCCGCCGGGGCGCCTTTATATGGCCCGCGCTTCTCACGACGGCCCGCCCACCGCGGCCGCCGGTTGGACTCCGCGGCCCGCGGTTCTGCTCATTGGCTGGCGCCGGGGCCACTGAGCGGGCAGCGCGCGCGATTCAAAGGTTGGCGAAATCCTTCCGGAAGAATCCGGAAGGGGCCTCAGAGGTCTTCTAATCCAACCCCCTGCTCAAGGCAGGAGACCTCATACAATCCCTGTCAAATGGTTGCCCCGTCTATTTTTGAAAACCTCCTGGCACGCAGCACCCACAATTCCGGGCAGCGAGCTAATCCACGGATTATTCTATGGTCAGAATAATCTTAGTTCTAGGATTGATCTCTCTTTAACAAGCTCCCACCCATTACTTCTTGTGGTGGCATCTGGTGCTTTGGAGAATAAGTCAATCCCCTCATCTGTGATGGCCCCTCAAGTTCTGGAAGAGTGTTATTATGCCCCCCCCTCCTCCTGTCCTATAAATTAGACATACGCAGCTCCCTCAACTGTTCATACAATTTAGTCTCCAGACCCTTTTGATCTTTGTTGCTCTTCCCTGCACTCTTTCTGGGGCCTCTGCATCTTTTTTTTCTTGTCATGGTGGCCAGAACTGGATGCACAATTCCTAGTCTTATCGGTGTGGTACAAAGCTGTGCTATCACCTCTTGTAATCTTGATGCTGTCCCTCTGTTGATGCCACCAGAACTGCATCGGCCTTTTTGGCAGCTGCAGCACATGGCTGGCTCAGACTTCTAGGGGTCCACTAGGACAGTGGTCACCAACCAGTGGTCCACAGACCACTTGTTGTCCATGAGAAAATTTTGGTGGTCCACAGAAAAATTATTTGCATTTTTTTATATTGCACTAAATACTATTTATCTTTTAAAAAAAATCATATTAGTGGTCCGCGGGATTTAAAATTATGAATTTAGTGATCCCTGATGTCCAAAAGGTTGGTGACCATTGCACTAGGATGCCTAGATCTCTCTCACCTAGACCTGTTGAGCTAGGTATCACCTATTCAGTATCTATGGTTTTTCCTGCCTATGTGCAGGACCTTAACTTCTCACCATTAAACTGCACCTTGTTGGATGCTCCACTGTTCAAGTCTGTCAAGATTCCCAAATTAGCAATTCCCTCCAGCTTGGTGTCATCTCCTGAGTTCTTCTATCCTCTCATCTAGATCATTTATTAAGATGTTGAAGATGGAACCTTGAGGTACCCCACTGCATGCTTCCCTCTAGGTAGATGTAGTTCCATTGAGGACAACATGCTAGGTGTGGTTCGTCAGTCAACTGCAAATCCATCTGGTGGTGGCACTGCCTATCCGACATTGTTCTATCTTACCAGGAAGTAAGTTGTAGCCCACTTTGTCAAATGCCTAATTGAAGTTCAGGTATACTATGTGTACGGCCTTTTGTTAGTCCACCAATTTAATCACTGTCAGAAAAAGCAACAAGGTTTGTCTGGCATGATCTGTTTTTTGAAAAATTATGCTGGCTTCTAGTAATCACCTTGTTTGTTTCTAGGTGTTCACAAATCCTCCGCTTGATTACCTTTTCCAGGATTTTCTCAGGTATTGACATCGAATTGATTGTCCTATAATTTCCTGGATTCATTTCCCCCTTTTTATAGATTTGAACCACACCAGCCCTTTTCCCGTCCTCTGGTAGTTTCCCTGTGCTACAAGATATTTGAAAGATTACATTCATGCTTGGCCAGTAAAGAATTGAATTGAATTGAATTCTATTCTATTCTGTGGCTCTGAAATTACATCTGCCAACTCCTTCTGGGATGCAAACCATCTGGCCCAGCTGATCTGTACTCCTCCAGGCTGGATAGGTATTCTCTTACTAATACCTTCCTTATTTCAACTTGTATACCTACAGTATTCTATCTCCCTCCGTGCTGCTTTTGGTAGGTTGTTTCCTCCTTTTGCATAAAAAGAGGCAGTTCTGCTTTCTCCCTGCTCCTTCTCACCTTCTCCTCTCCAGCTTACCCTCTGCCTATTCCTATATCTCTGATGGCGAACCTATGGCACACCTGTCACAGGTGGCACGTGGTGCCATATCGGTGGGCACGCGAGCTCAGCTTATTTTCAGGCTTTCTGGGTCCACTAGAAGTAGGGAAACAGGCTGTTTCCAGCCTCCGGAGGACCTCAGGGGTGGGGGTGGGGAAGGCCCGTTTTTCACTCTCCCCAGGCTCCAGAGCCTTTCTAGGAGCCTGGGGAGGGCGAAAACAGCCTTCTGGTCCTGCCAGAAGTCAGCAAATGGGCTGCTTCCGGCCTCCGGAGAGCCTCGGGGGGGGGGGGGGGGAGGGGGGGGGAAAGCCATTTTTGCCCTCCCCAGGCTCCTAGAAAGGCTCTGGGTCTGGGGAGGGCGAACAACAGGCCCATCGTGCCATCACATGCCAAAAGTGGGGTCACATGTGCGAGGGGGCGGGGCGCATAGAATTATGGGTGTGGGCACATGGGCACACAACACCCCCCCCGCACTTCCCCCGCTTTTGGCCCGCGATGGCAAAAAGGTTAGCCATCACTGTCCTATACCCTGTCCTCAAAATTCTGGGTCTCCACTCCACCCCTCTACAGCAGTCCAACACATAAATACTTTGGGAACAGAACAGGGTGTAGAAAAGCACAGTACAAATTTATACCCAGCAAAGTTTGTGGGAAAGGTGGTAGTACAGCAGTTCTAAACAGGCTTCAGAGCAATATCTCAAACACATGAAGTTCTTTTCAGCACAAAGTGAAGAAACCAAAATCAGATCCTCCCCTGGAGGTAAAGGGCAAGGAAACCATTTACGAAGCTGAGCATCCCCTGCTTCACCCGTTGCTACAGGCGTTGACTCTGTTGGATTCCCTCCCAAGGATGCAAGAGGCCCATGGGCAGCCAGAGATCACCAGGGGGGAAAATGTTGCTTCCAAGCTGCTGCATCTAGAAGAGGCCGACAATTGGACCCTTTGGCTGGTCTGATCTTCCCGGCGAAGGCAGCAGCATCCCACCTTTTGGCAGGAGCCAAGAAGCGCCCTGGGCAGGAGAGCATCCGGGCTTTTCTCAGGTGGAATGGATAACAGGGACAGAGGAGGCGCAATCAACCGCAGGTCAGCTCAGACATCATAAAACAGCCGCACAAGCTGGTACCGGATACCAAAAGCTACCAAACTACCAGCAACCTCAAGACAGAAAGGAGAGGAGGGATGATAGTGCAAACAAGATTGCAGCCGCTTGCTCATGACTCATCGCACTGAGGCCTTGCTCACCTGGCCATAACTGCTGGATTGTAAAGTACCCCTGGCTACGCATCATTCTTTGCACTTTCACGTAACATACCAAGGCTGTCAGGCAACAGCGTGTGTACTGTGGAAACTGAAACTGCTTAATCTTCCCCTCAGTAGGTTTTGTTGAAAAGGGCACAACTGTTGTCTCCATGGGAGCATCACACAACCCCCCAATTGTGCTCCTTACCTGGATTAGCAGCAGCAGAACCGTCAAGTTTTGTTCAGGGGTTGGTCCTATCAGCTTCAGCACAAAGTTAATAAGGGTCATGTTATTGCATTCTGTAAATTCTCCATCTTTGTCTGTTCCCTGACGCACATTCACCAGGCACAGCTTCTCAGCTACCTGAGGAGAAATATGCATTACCTATCAGGTAAAGCTTCGTCAGCATGAGGCAGAGCCAAGACAGTCTCAGAAGATTGCTGCCGAAGCCTGCTTTCCTGCTTCGGTTAACAGTTACCTTGAGGGTATATGCTCCCCAAGGAGAGAGGTTCTTTGACTTGAATCTCGAGTAGCTCATCTCTAGCTTCCCTGTGTCTGTGTTGAATCTGAAGGCAGAGATGGAGGCAATCAGAACGGAAATGGGAAACTTGGTTGTAGTAGGAGCTGCAGAGGGGACCTGATCAAGCCAGGAAGCCCTTCTGCCACAAGAAAAGCCAGAAGATCCTTTGTGCAGTTTGGTTTGACAAGTCCCGCTGAGAAACAGATGGGCAGTTCAGAAATGTGAAGGATAGGAAAGGAAAAGGGAAAGGAAAAAGGAAAGGAAAGAGGAGAGAAAGAAAAGAAAAGGAGGAAGGGAAAGAAAATATAGATCTCAGCAAATGGGATTTACAGCCCCGATCTTTGCCTAGGACCACGGCCTTCCTCAATTAGAAGCGTGCTTTGAAAGGAATCGCCCTTTCCTTGGCTTTCACTCTGGTTGCGGCCAACCAGCAGGCAGGCTCATCCTTCTCACCTGGGCAACCGATGGCGGGGGCATGGGATGATGTGGAAAAGCTGAGGCAGCGAGTAAAGGAAGTTGGCCACTTGCGGGATGAAGAAGAGAAGCATTGTCTTGCTGAAGTGCCCAAGGATGCCTACCACGGCAAAGGTCATGCCAGCAAAGTAGCAGAAGGTGTCTCCCACAAACACACGGGAGGGGTACCTGCAGTCAGCCAGGAGAGAAAGCAGTCCAGTATGTGGCAGTCCAGTAAAGATTCTCCCCACAGAAGACGGAAGGAAGCATTATGCGTAATAAAGAGAAGGCACTTAAAAAGGGGTCTTTGTTTCCACGCTCTCTTCCTTCTCCGGAAAGAAGGTTCCAAAGTGTCCTGAAGGGAGTTGTGTGACCCCTCCAGACTCCCAAACCGCCACCCACAGGTTGTCCTGTAAGGACTGCAGATCCTGCCGTGAGAACAGGCTGGCCTTTGCCTTCAAAAAGGGTGTGCGTGTCCCTTACCAATTGTGGTACAGCAGTCCCAGCGTGGTAAAGAAAAAGGGAATCATGAAGTAGAGGGAGAAGACGTGGTCATCCTTGCAATCCCCTGTGAGAAGGAAAATAAGGAGCAGCCAGGTTAGGCGACTGGCAGGGCTTAACCGGCCCTTGCAGAGAGCAGGCTAAACCTGGCGCACCCACCGGTTAGCTCCGCGATATTGAAAGCAATGATGGAGGCAGCAATCACCAGAGACTGCCCGGCTTCCAGACCGTTAATCCCAGCCAGAATGTTGATTGCGTTGGTGCAGAAGACGGCCAGCATGCCCATGTACACGTAGTAGAGTATCCCTGCAGGAAAAGCACAGGGCAGAGCAGACCCCCTTGCACCCTCCGCCAAGTGGCACCACCAAGCCGCCCTGGCAGCCTGCCACCCCGGGAGCCACAGGCCGGGCAGGGGGGGAGGGGGGAGAGGGTGGGCTCACCCAGGTCGAGGTAGACGCCCAGCAGCACCCGGAAGGGCTTGGGCACCACGATGGTGGTGTTCCCGAAGTTGGTGAAGTAGACCATCAGCAGGGGCAGGGAGGCGGCGGTGGGCAGGAGCAGCTTGTGCCGCCAGCGCAGGTTGAGCACGTCGTCGGCGAAGCCCAGGAAGATCATGCAGCAGATGGCCAGCAGGGCGCCCACCAGCGCCACCAGCTGCAAGGCAGCGGGCCAAGAGCCGTCAGCGCCGCCGCCCGCGGGGCTCCCCCGCCCGCAGAGCCTCCCCGGCGCCCGGCCCGGCTGACCTCGTGGTGCGGGAAGGCCTGGCAGCGCTCCCCGCCGAAGCAGCTCAGGAAGGGCACCGGGATGAAGCAGAAGAGCAGGATCAGGAAGACGGCGCCGCTGATCACGCCCTGCGACTCGGGGCTGCGGCCGAGAGACAGAGAGAGAGAGAGAGAGGGACCGTCCACTCAGCCTCGAGGGGCCCCCCGCCCCCCCTTCCCCCTCTCCCCTCCCCCCCTCCCCACTCACAGGGGCTGCCTGGAGGGCTTGTTCAGGTCTGCCCCGCACAGCCGCGCCGCCAGGAAGTGCTCGCGGAAGGCCGGGATGAGGCGCATCGTGGCCCAGCAGCCCAGCGCCGAGCCGCCCAGGTTGATCAGCAGCGGCACCACCGGCACCTTCCACATCGCGCCGCCGCCGCCGCCCTGCGGGGAGGGAGCAGAGAGCCCGGCCGGTCAGCGCGGCTTTCCGCCCGGAGTCCCCGGGGCGCCTTCGCCTTGCCCTGGCTGCAGATGGCGGCCCGCTGCCCCCACGTCACCCGGCCGGCTGGCTCTCGGGCGGGCGGGGCCGTTTAAAGGGGCCGCAGCTGGGCAGGCGCCTCCGGCCCACGTTTGGCGCAGCTGGCCGCCTCTGGCGCCGAGGAAGCCGGGCCGAGAAGCAGCCCCAAGCGCCGCCGCCCGGCCCACCTCCGGGGCTCCGGCGCGCGGCCCTGCCAGCCGAAGGCGGCCCGGGCTGGGCTCCAACGGGGCGGCGGGCGCGGGGAGGCTCGCCGACCCCCGACCGGAGAGCAGCCTCACCGCCGCGGCCTTCCGGGGAACGGAGAGGCGGGGGAATCGCCTCCCTCGAGGGCCGCCGCGCTCACCTGGCCGACCGATCCTCCGGGCCCCTCGGCGTCCCTGTGGCGGCCGGCAGGTGCCCCGAGCCGCGTCCCGTCCAGCGCCTGGGAGGCGGAGCCGGCGGCGGCCTTAGTCCCGCCCAACTGGCCGTGACGGGAGGCGGAAGAGCCCGGCTGCCATGTAGCTCCGCGCCGGCTCCGGGAAGGAGGAGCGAGCCCGCCGCCCCCGCTCGCCATGCATCCCCCGGCCGGCCCGTGAGCGGCGGCGGGCGCGCCATGGAAGCAGCGGCGGCGGTGGCGCCGGGCCTGGGCTGGGGCTGGGCGGCGCTGGTGCTGCTCTTCGCCGCCTCCCTGCTCACCGTCTCGGCCTGGCTGTTGCAGCTCGGCCGGAGCCTATGGCGCGGCCGCGGACGGGCGGCAGAAGCCCAGCCGAGCCAGGCGGCCCCCTCCGGCCTCTGGGCGGCCGTGCTGCGCCTGGGCGCGGGCCGCGAGGGCGCGGGGGGCAGCTGTCCGGCGGCCGGGGCCCGCGGCTTGCTCGCCTCGCTCTTCGCCTTCCGCGCCTTCCGCGAGAACTGGCAGCGAGCCTGGCTGCGCGCCCTCAACGACCAGGCCCGCCAGCACGGGGTAAGCCGGGCGAGGGAGCCGCCGTCGGGGCTGCGCTCTGGCCGCGTCCCGCAAAGGTTGACCGGCCGGCCGGCGGGAGGGGAGGGGAGGTGGGGGGGAGAAGCGGGGCGGCCGGCTCTTCCTCCGCCCGCAGCAGCCGCTGGCCCGAAGCCCGGCTCCCCCCGCGGAGCTATGTGGGGCTGCGCTCGCCGGAAAGGCACGGCCTGACGGAGCCCTCTTGGCCGCTTCTGCTTCTCCGGGCTAATCCTCGGAGAGGGCGGCCGGCCTGCTGGTCCTCTGCCGCCTGGCGAGTTCGGCTCTTTCGCGCGTCAGGAAGGCGAGATTGGCCGGCTCCGCTGAAGAGGGCGCCGCTTTCCGGGCTGCGAGCATTCGGGGGCTGGGCGGAAGTTTCTGGGCATCTTAAAGTGCGGAGCAGGGCAGCGACGGGCCCGAGAGCCGACCTGGTAGCTGCCTTAAGGCCGGCGAGCCTCCGCCTCAGCCCTTCTTTCTGCCTGCCTGCCCGCCCGGCTCTTCCTTGTCCTCTTGCTCTCCGGTCGTTTCCTTCAATGCCTCCAAGGTCGCTGTGGGCCTCTCCGGGCATTTCCATCAGGAAGACCCCCTGATGCGGACAAGGTGCGACTGCCTGAACTGCCTTTGCTGGATCAGGCCTTCTGGAGCTGCACCCCCCGGGCCCTTTGGCCGGCTCAGGGGCTCTTGGGGCCGGATTCCCCCGGACAGGGCAGGGGTGGATTGGGCTGCCAGAAAGGGAGATAGATGTGTTGCCTCCCCCTCCTCCACAGACTGAAATGTTGCTTACAGGGACGAAGAGGGAGCTGCATTTGCTTCCCCTCCCCCTTCTCCTGACTCTGGATGCTGCTGGGCTTGCTTTCCTGATCCCTCTGCTCTCTCCTACCCCCCCTTCCCTCCCCCAAGCCATTTTGTTCCACTCTTCTTACAAAAGGAAGGTGAGGTAGCATCACAGCAGCTCCCCATGAAGCTTGCCATCTTCCCTCCCCAGTGTCCTTCTGGCCAGCTCTACTTTGCCACTGGAGGATCTTAAGTGTCCCTCACAGGAAGTCACAGAAGTGAAGAACGGGCGGATGGACGGGGGAAGAATATCCATATGGAAAGAACCCTGAAGAGAAACCATGCCGGGGGTGCAGGAACAGAGGTCCATCTCAGCAGGGTTTTAGAGGAAGACCTCAGTCCTGTGCCAGGGTTCATGTTTTTTCCTGCCGGTGCTTTTGTGCTGCCCCCTTTCTTGGCAGTCCCTCAGCAAGGAGGGGCTGCCGTCCAAAGGGGCTGGATTGTGCTCTGCTTGGAAACGAGAGAAATCGCCAGAAGGCTTTTCAAGTGCAGTGCAGTCTGGCCCCCTTGGGACCCGCACACTGCTCCAACTGAGCTGTTCAGTTTGTGTAGCTAATTTCCCTGCACCGTTTGCATAGTAACAGGCATCGTGTTCACTTGTTCTCTGCTTATGTTTCTAGTTCCTCGGTATAAATTCAGTCCAGAAATAGTTGGTCTGTTTGCTGTATTGCAGACCTGGGTGGGGGCCTCCTTGTTCTGCACCTGAAGCACCTCTTCTTGCAGAGAAAATGGATCTCTTGCCTTGGGGCTGTGATTGTACCGGGCCTAGGACCACAGAACCAGAAGGCCCCCAGCCTCCCATCCCCCACTCAGTGAGGATCCCAAAGACCCAAAGGCCAAGGAAGAGGGGAGGGTGGCCCTTCCTGCAGCCCAGCCTGCCATGCTTATCTGAGAGGTGGCATGCTGGCGCCAGCTCCATGGCAACTTGGCCATTGCTTCACCTGGTGCTGTATCCAACCCACGAGCTGGAGGTTGGGAGAGGCAGGCGGCTGCTCTGGAGCGAGCTGTTCCCTACGAATAATGTTCAGGGGGAACGGGGGAAATTTCCAGGTGTTCACGGCTATTGGAGGCATCTCACATTTATTTTGGATATTTCCAGAGGGCAAAACAAGTTCCCTTCCTTCTGAACAAGCAGATCCAGCAGGATTGCTTTAGGATCTCTCCTTGTCTGGGCTTCTTGGTGTTCTGGCCAAAATCCAAGCGATGTGCAGGACTTTAGCAGGGGCTGACATTCAGCTGAGAAAAGCCTTGTACATCACCAGCACCCTGCCTGGCTGCTCCAGCTTGGATTGACAGTGGAGCCCAGGTGCCTCCCTCTATGGCTTGGAAAGTCAGTCCATGCCCAAGAAGGGGGCGCATCTGGACTCCTGCTGGATGCCCTTGGCAAGTGGCACCTTGTCTGGCCTTGCAGAAGAGCCCAGATTGTGAAGATGACCTTGCCACATTGGCTCCCTCCCGCAGGCTAACTGGGGTTTCTTCTTCCCAGAGCTCAGTCCAGATCACGTTTGAGGAAAGCCCTCGGCAGTTGCCGGCCGTAACTATCAGCCACGTGGCCTACACTGACCAGTCGGATCGCAGGATGGTGAGTTCTCCAGAGGGCCACAAGCAGGATCGCCTTTGCCTACAAAGGGTGGCCCTGGTTTGAACCCAGCGGTTTTCACATCTCTCACCACCCGCCATTCAGACTCCTTCCCAACTCAGGGAAGCTTCCCAGCAGCCTGCTGTGGGGCGGGGGCGCTTAGACTCCAGGGAAGGGGGCTTCTGCCCTTTGGGCAGTCACCTTCCCCCCCCCCCGTTTTCCCTCTCAGACTCCGGCTGATAGCCCAGATGTTTTGTGGCCTGAGATGCCTCAGTATGCCAGCAACTGTCTAAATATAGGACAGGGTGGGCGAGGAGCCCTTCCCGGTTGTGGGCAAGGGCCATGGGCTGGACTCCTCTCTGAAACTGCAGAACAGTCCCCAGAAGCTGTCTAAATGCAGAAGGACAAGCTGTCTGTCCCTGAAGGAGTTGGATGTGGCTATGAGGTCAGCAGCAACTGGGGAGAACATATCCGGGGTTTGCCAAAGCATTGACAGGCGGCTAGGGAGGCTGACCTTGGCAGCTGCCCTCCGGCATGGGACAGCTGACCTCTTAGATCACAGCAGCTAACCTACCATCCAGTGGCCCCTGCGTGTGAAGGGACAGAGGAGAAGCACAGTTCAGGAGCTTTGTAGCTGAACAGAAGTGGCAGAGTGGGGGGAAGGGATGCTCTTTGAAGGCACCAGATGTCGGCTTGGAGATGAAGGCTTAAATTGCCAGGGAGCTCAGCTCTGAAAATAAGGAGGACACAGTCCTGGGATGTCAGCTGATCAGATAAACGCTTTGCTCTGGCAGTATTGCTGCCTCCTCCACTGAGCCCCATCGCCTCCTGGGGGGCTCTCTTGAGGCTCATCTGAATGGGGGTCAGGATGCTCAGCCAGAGCTTGAAACTCCCAGTCAAACAGAGATGATAATGTGACAGCAGAGAGGTGTGGATGGAGCTGCATCTAATATGAAGAGCAGCTCTGGAAGAGGGATCTGGATTAAGATCGGGTGTTGAGCGGATTAACTTGTTTTCCTCTAAGGTTGCAGGGAGGCGACAGTAGCTCCTCCTGTTTTCTTGCTGAAAGCCCCCTTCCCCCCCCCCCAACTCTATTTTCCAGTTCCAGGAGCTTTGTGGGAAGGCTGCAGGAGGGAAACAGGGCAGGAATACTTAATTAAAGCCATTTTTCCAGACCCCAATCAATGAATTACCTTCAGTAGTTCTTTCCAAAAGTTTAAAGCTGATGGGACGGCAGTTTCTGGGCTCCATTGTTGCTGCTCTGACTGTAGATGGAGGAGGAGGAGGAGGAGGAAGCTGGGCTGTGGGGCTGCTGCTGTCCTGAACTGGGAAGGCACTCGGTGACTGCCCGTCCCTTTCCTTCTCCACCCAGGTGCTCCACTGCCTCCTTTCAACTGGCACGCTGCAGTTCCCAGTCTTGGTTGCCCAGCAGTCCCCGGCAGCTGTGTCCATGGACACCTATTGCGTCTCTCTGGTGGTACAGCAGGCCCAGGTGAAGGAGGCAGAAGGAGGGGGCTGAAAACCCTCCAAGGCTTTGCCTGAGGCAGGACGGGGTGGGTTGCTGTGGGCCCCAGCATTTGGTGCAAGGTTGGCCTCGGCATCCTTGCACTGCTGACAGCCATTAGTGGGATTTATTTCTGGTGATCGCAGCCAGTGGTTGCATATAATTCTGCCTGGCCATTTGCACTGACATCAGCTTTGTCCTGTTGGCCAGCTGGAGATCCACCTGGAGGAGGTGGAGGGCGAGGGGCTGCTGGTCTCCTGGGCATTCAAAGACAGGCCTGACCTGAAGCTCTCCATCCCGCCAAGACCCCAGCCGCACCATGTAAGCAAAGGAGGGGCAGGTGATGAGGAAGAATGCCCCCCTCCCCCCCGGTGGTCCCTTCCCACCCTGACTTGGAGCTCTCCTTCTGCCAAGGAGGTCCTGGGGGCCTTTTTTTCCCCTTTAATTTATATGCCACCCTTCTCTCGAGTCTGAGGGCGGTTTACAGTGCGTTAAGCAATAGCCTTCACACTTTTGTATATTTATACAAAGTCAGCTTATTGCCCCCACAATCTGGGTCCTTTTGCCAGCCGCTGCAAGCATGGAGCCAAGCATGGAGCCTTTGGCCGTCAGCCTTGCGCAGGGCTGCCTGGGGGAATGTGTGGCCCTTTGCCGATCTGTGTAGCGCAGTGCGAAATTCAGAGGAAGATGGGTTCCTGAGCTGCTCAGAAACTCAGCACCGCACCTGCTGGTCCGGCATAATTTTCCTGGTGCCCCTTGCAGGAAAACGATGGGAAGGCGGACTTGTCTATTATCAAGAATCTGATTGAAGACTCCATTATCAGCACCCAGCCTGCCATGATGGTGAACCTGAAGGCATGCATTATGAATGCCAGCACGGTAAGGGTGGGCGGTTGAGAGGGAAAACTGAATAGGGCCCCAGCTGGGCATTAAGAACCCACCATCCCTTTCAGCCAGGAGGAGGTGACCTGCGTCTGGCCTCCTTTACCAGGTTTGGGTCAGCATTTCCATTGCCTGCTTCCTTTGAACCCGGGCAACCTTTGGAAAGGGAAGGCAGCGGCCATTTCAATTCTTAAAAGTACGCTTTGCTATTCTGGGCAAAGACTTCACATAGACTGGATTGCAGAAGGACAGCAGCAGTTCTGGCACTTCCCATGAGACACCTCAGAGGCTTTTGGGGAGGGGGGAGGTTCCCTCAGCCGCTACTTAGTGCCCCCTGGCTCTGCCTCACAGGAGACCAGCAGCAGGCCATCCCCGGGATCCCTCTCCAGCTCAGCGCCTGTCCTGATGCCCAAACTGCTTCTCCAGCACCTGCGAGCTCTGCACCTGGGATCCCAGGAGAGCCAAGGTACCCAGGAGCCCCAGGCATTTTCTTCTCCTGCTGTGGAGGGGGTCTGTGGGCAATCTGGTGAGGCGAACTTTGGCTGCACCACTGTTGGCTTCTCTTGCAGGAAACGGGCTGCTGTGCTGTGAGGTGGAGTTGGACAGCCCTCGGCAGCAAAAGAGAACGGCCCCTGTGCCGCCTGGTCCGGCCGCTGAGGTGGAGTGGCCCGGCAAGCTGCTTCTGTAAGGAGCCCGGAGCTTCCTGTATTTGGGTCATGGGGTGGAGGGGGTGGGAAAAGAGGGAGTGTCGTGGCCAGAGTCCTGAAATAGCATAACCAATGCTGGCTGGTTCCAGGGATGCCAGGCATATCATTGCCTACTCTGTAGGGGAGGCCAGAGGCCCCTGCTCCCCACTGGTGTTCCCGCAGGCAGTCTGTGCTTCCTTTGGAGAGCTCTGCCCTCCAGCCACTGGGCAGTGAGAAAGTGGCCCTGATCCAGGAAAAGAATTAGCAGGGCAAGGTTGAGTGCCTCTCTGCTTCCTTCTTTCCTGCCCCCAACAGGGAGCTTGGTCCCCGGAGCAAAGAGCTGGTGCTGAGGGTGTTGGAAGGCAGCCCTTCTGGAGAGGGTAAGTCATCTGTGGGCAGCTGCAGGAGGGCATGGAGCTGGGCCTCGGGGGCTCTTAAGCCAACAGCTGGAAGAGCAGGAAGGGAGCTGGTAGCGTCTCACTTGGGAGGCTCCGGCTAGCATTTGTCTGAGGAAGGAGCTGCTGCGCTCCTGTGGGCCTCATGCGCTGGGTTTCTCCTTGCAGACGTGCTCCTGGGATTTGTGGCTGTCCCTGTAGACCCCTCCTCCAAAGAGCCGCAGGGGCAGCAGCTCTACCTGCTGAGTCCAGGGCCCGCCCGGGATCTGCCCCCAGCAGCAGCCATTGCCGTGGAGGTGAGAGGCCAGAATGGCCAGAGGCTAAACTCTGCTTCGTGGTTGCCTGCCTTGCTTTACATTTTGCGTCTGCTCCATTAAACCTCCCCTCGCCCCACTTCTCAGCTTTAAGCCAAGTGTTGATTTTGAGCGCAGGGCTGGAGAGGTCCAAACAATAGAGGTGGGGAAATGTTTGGGTGAGTCTGCATGGCTTATAAAAACTTTATACCACCTTTTTCAAGCAATAAACCCCAAAGAAGCCCCCTTTCTGGGCACAGGAGAGAACGATGTTCCCCATCATATTTCAAAGGTCTCCAACTCCAGGCATGTTGAGCTGCTGGCAGCCAGTGTGATTCAGCTGATCAGCTCCAAAGCAGACAATCTGGGATGGCCGAATCTTGGTGTGTCTTTGCGTATGTGCTGGTTTCTCAGGCATTGTCTGTGCTTTTCTGAGTTATACTGGGCTATCTTGACAGCTGCTCCACCAGGACATGCCAGAGCTCCAGGCTGCCTCCTCCCTGCGCACCAGCATCACTCCCACCAAGAAGATCGAGATGGGCCGGACCATAATGCCCGATGGCACTATTGTCACTACCGTCACCACCATCCAGTCCAGGCCCAAACTGGACTGTAAACTTGGTAAGATTTCCTAATTTCAACCAGCCAGGCTTGCAAGCCACCAGCAACTTGTTTATGTGGCTGGAGAGCACCCCAAATGGCCACACGGATCTGAGCAGTAACGCCACGTTCAGCCTTCGCACGGGGGGAGCCCTGCACCAGGGTCAGAATTCCTCCTCCCATGAAGGCTGCAACTGGGCATTGTCCTAGTGCAAAACATGAGTGGTGCATTTCCGTAGGTGCTGCTGAAGGGAGGTCTCCGCTGGGTGTGATTGACACTTTGTTAACACTTCTTTCTCCTGCACTCTAGATTCCCCCTCCAGATCTCCATCCAAAGTGGAAGTTACGGAGAAGGTCACCACGATGCTTCCAGAAAATGGCTGTCCCAGCAGAGCGTCTCCCTGCAGTAGCAGTGAGTCACGTTGTCAAAAAAGAACAATTAGGGAGATTGTGAGATGGACAGAGCTGGTGGGATGCTGCCCCTCCAGCCTTTTTGAAGAAGCAGATGACCAACTGCGTCTGTACTTGTTCACTCTTCCTTCTCTCCGACCTCAGCTGAGGCTAGACATGGGGATGGGAGCCAGTTCCAAACAGGAGAGCAGTTGGGTTCCTTCCAGATATTATGAATTGCCTGATGTGCAAAACAGCTGTGGATCATGGGAAGGAGTTCCAAATAACTGGAAGGCACCAGATTACATTGATGAAATACTTTGAGTATTGGATAGGAAGAACCGCTCAGCACGCCCTTTAACTCTATAAGCACTTTGCTGAGTTAACCTGGGCCAGCCAGCATGTTCTTGGTCTCACCCGCCTTGCTGGCTGGCCTGGAGGAAGAATCAGGCACCATCATGTTTAACATCACCCTGAACATGCTTGAATGAAAGGAGATGCCTCTCAGCCACTGGCACGGCGCACTTGTACAAAGCCAGGGGTTTGCCAGGGCCACTCTGTGCAATTGTCTCTTCTCCCCCAGGGAGCAGTTGCGTGTCCAACGGCCTAGATCCGGTGGCCGAGACAGCCATCAGGCAGCTGACGGACCTGACCAATAAGCCTGCCAAGAAGACTCCGACCAAGCGCAGTACGCTGATCATCTCGGGAGTTTCCAAGGTAACTGGCAACTTATCTGGCTGAGAACTGACGCTGCTTTGTTTATTTCCATTTATTCACTGGATTGGGCTTTCATGCTGCCCAACTCCAGACCACTCAGGGAAGAAGGAACCAGGCGTGAAGGGACTGCACCCCCACCCGACTTTCAGCTTCTCTCTGTCCTGCTCTGTGCAGGTACCCATCGCCCAGGATGAAATGGCCCTCTCCCTTGGCTATGCCGTGTCATTGGGGAATTCCCTGCAGGAAGACTCCATCATGACTGGTCTGTCAGAATATGCGCCACCAAGCATCTGCGATACTACGCAGCAGCTGGAAAATTCATACTCGCCTCAGATGGCGAGCCAGGATCTGGACGAAACAACCTATTCAGACATCTCTGAGAGACCCTCAGTGGATGACGTGGAATCCGAAACCGGCTCGACAGGAGCCCTGGAGACTCGGAGCCTGAAAGATCACAAAGGTGAGGGAGGAAGCCAGCTTTCTTCTGAGCAGGGACCCCCTGGCCCTCTTCCGTAGGAGTAGCCAGGATTCGGGAGGTGGTCTCTGAGTCGTTCTCCAACCAGCATGACGAGGGCTTGGTGCCCAGCGCCAGGCAGGCCAGCAGCGCAGGTTCACCGTCTCCTCCTCCTCTTGCAGTGGGCTTCTTGCGAAGTGGCACCAAGCTGATCTTCCGGAGGAAGAACAAGCAGAAGGAGGCTGGCCTCAGCCAGTCGCATGATGACTTGCCCAACGCCAGCACCGCCTCTGCCCCCAGGAAGAAATCTGGAAGCTTCTCTCGGCGCCTCATCAAGCGCTTCTCCTTCAAGGGCCGGGCAAAGAGCAAATCCAATGGGAGCACCCCCCCGTCGGTGGAGAAGCCCTGAGGAGCCGCTGCGTCGGCCGTCTTCCGAAGCCCCCCTGACTGTCACCAGTGGTTGTCTGCTGTCTATCCACCATGGCCCCAATCCCCCTGTCCTCCTGTGCAAAGGGAGTGAAGGCCGGCGGGTGGGTGGGAAGTCTTGCCAGTAGCCATAGGAAACAGACGCTTGGTGGCATGAGGAGTGTAACGTAGCCCTCTGAGCATCTGCTGAGCACTCCTCTTTTAGCCTAGGTGGGGTGGGGGGCAGCCCCCATGGCGGCCTGAATCTGAAATCTGTGGTGTGTGTGTGTGTGTGTGTGTGTGACAGAGAAAGGTTTTATGGTGGCATATCCAACAACTGCCACTCTGCCTGCCAGGCTCTGTTGAACAACAAGGGCAAATAGCTGGCGGGTTCATGGGACATGAGGAGGAGGACAGTCAAGCCAGGCTCTTGGGTCCCGAAATGTGGCTCCGAAGACCCTTCCTTCAGTGGCAGAGCCCTCAACCCGGCCTTGGTTGCTGCCAGGAAGGAGCTAGAGAACTTCCAAGCAGAAGTCGCCTGCGGCTGCTTGCTAGATCTCTTCCTTGGGAGACTTGGTGGCATGGAATGGAGGCACCTTGCTGAGTTCCCCGTCTGTTGCCTGGCACAGAAGGGATGGGGAGAAAGGAGGTGCCGTCTGCTGGACACAGCCCTGGAGGCTCCCCAAGAGAGAGAGACTGGACTGCACTTTCCTGACGTCCAGCTGGATGCCGTTCCTGACCCTGGAGATGCGCATGAATCGGGGGAGGACCCTTGCTGAGGCTGGGCTGGCCCCTCCCTGCAGGTTCCTGGAAACAGACTGTGGGTGGGACAATAAGGAAATCGCTGTTTTGTTACCTAGAAGTCAGGTTTTGGGACAAATTTGGAACAGGCTTCACTGAAACCCCACATTTCTCATTGGAAATGGGTGTGCGTCAAAGGCAATTGCAGATGGGATGGCTCCCCTTTCCTTGGAGCAGGTTGAACCCTGTCTAGCCCCCAACCCAACCCTCCACTGGACTACTCTTCTGACTGCCTGGGTCTGCAGGTCAGGGCTCTTGCTGTCCCGTCAGCCGATCCCTCAGGGGAACAGCAGGCTTGTGCCTGGAAAGGAATGCCTGCAGCTTTCCCCACATAGGGCTGCACGCAGAGTACCCCCCCCCACCCCCCTTGCTGCAAGGCAGGTTTGTCACAGAAGGCCCCGGCTGGGTCTGGCTGCCTTGGCCTTCAGGCGGGAGTGCCAGGGCATCAAAACTGCCTGTGGGGGTTGGGGGTACGTCAGGATGGGTTTGTCTGCCCAGGGAGGGGAGGGGATGGAGGTGGGCACATTGCTCCTGTTGACCCTCCATGCGTTTCCCCCGGGGTGTCCTGGAGGGCAGTTTCTATGATTGTCCCTGTCAGTTCGGTTGGAGGGGGGGAAAGTGAAGATTTCGATTTAGGCTGTTCAGTTGAGGCTTTGCAGTGAGACTGGCTGTACTATGTTCCTCTCCTGACCTCCCGCTGGCTGCAACCCTGTGATTTGACTCAAGCCTGTCCTAGTGTTGCAGATCACTCTGTATTTGCCGATTTGCTACCTTTGCCCTGTTTGTCCAGCCTTGAAGGAATTATTTGTAGATTTACCTTTGGAACCCTTTGGATCAGGGTTTCATTTCTAAGAGGGGTGAAGATAAAGAGTTAGCCCTGCTTTCTGACTTCTGTGGAACTTGCTGCTTTGGTTTAGGAACCGAGTGGGGAGGGAGGGGGCCTCCTCGCCTGAGACATCCATCTCAGAGCTTGACCAGTGGGGTCCTTGGACTTACCCCAGGGCAGCCGGACAAGGTGGCTTTAACCAGCTGCCCTTAACGTCGATGTCAAACTTCAATGCCCTTCCTGGCTTCTTTTGAGCCTCTTGCTTGGGAAATGTTTGCCGTCACCCAGAGAAGGAAGGGGGCAGCCTGAGGCCGCGTCTTATGGGAGGAAAACGTTGAGACATCAGTGCAATAAAAGTGACGGCCAAGAAACAATTTGTACTTCGCTTATCTGGAGCAAGGGCCAATAAACAACACGGGTCGAGGAAAGTGGAAATTTATCACTTCATTTCTGATCAGAAGCAAAGGGGCTGCAAAACGCCCTGAGCAAGACTGGCATTCTATTTTTATACCTCAAGATACAGGAATTCAAAATGGCAATTCAAGGATTGGTTGCAATCATTATTATTATTACAATAATAGCACATGTATACCCAGGTTAAGTAACGATGTTCAGTGTGGAATAACACATGTGCAAGTCATGCTGTTCAGGTATTAGTGGGATCTACACCACCTAGCAGGTTCTGACAGGTTCTGGAGAACCGGTAACGGAAATTTTGAGTAGTTCGGAGAACCAGCAAATACCACCTCTGGCTGGCCCGAGTGGGCTGGGAATGGGGATTTGGCAATATCCTTCCCCCAGAAGTGGGGAGGGAATGGGGATTTTGCAGTATCCTTTCCCGGCCACGGCCACCAAGCCACGCCCACAGAACCGGTAGTAAAAAAATTGAATTTCACCACTGACCTGGACCCCTGCTTGCCCCTCATCCCACGCTGAAACAAGCTCCTAGGTACTGTCCTAACTGCACCCTGGGCATCTAGCCATGGCTTCTCTGCGGGGTCTGCTTTCAGAGTTCCTTACCAAGCCTGCAGGCCTTGTTCTGGTCTAAGCCGTGGGCAGCTTCCTGTTCTGAGCGCCTAGGCAGGCAAGAGGAAAGCGGGCGGTCGAGAATGGGTTCCTTCGGGCCCTCAAAAGCGAACCCTCCAGCAGGTCCCAAGATGGCCCCTTTCCCTTCCTCCTCTAAGCCACGGGCAGCAGGGAAGGCCGCAACGCTGGCAGGCCGCCCCTCCGCTTGCGCCGAGAGGAGCTCGAGGGTCTCCGCCCTCTGCTGGACGGCACCTGTTGCTGCACCCCAGGTCGTCTCGGGTACCCGGCGAAGGACGCAGCCCCCCCGCGCGGGAACCCAGGGATGGGAGCGTCCCTTGCGCCCGAGCCACGCGGCTCCCTGGGTGCCTCTTGGCGGCTCCAGCTGCTCGCGATGGGCTCTAGGAAGCGGCATTGGACGCCAGGGCCGCGTCCGGACCCCCCTTGGCGCGGGGAGGGGAGGGGGAGGGAAGCGGGTTTCTTTAATCCACTTTTCAGGATGCACCAAACAAACGCCGAAAACGGCAGAGCAACCCGAAGGTTGCTGCCGCCGAGAAGGCCCGACATCTTCCCCCGCCCGCCCGCCCCCCTCCAGCGCGGAGCTTTCTTCCCCGGCGCTGCGCTTATCCCCCGGAGGCCGGTTCCACCCGGGCGCCGAGAGCCAAAGCCGTCGGTCCCCCCGGGCGGCGCAAGGCAGCGCTGGCGGGGAAACGGGGTGGCGGTCGCCCCGCCCGCCCGCTCGCTTTAGCCGGGCTGCCAGCGCCGAGCGGAGGAGACGCGCCGTCGGAGCCCCCGGGGCCGGGCCGCCCGCAGCGCAGCTCCTCCTCCCGCCGCCTGCGCAAAGGCGCCTCCTCCGCCTCCCGGGCCAGGACTACAGCTCCCGGCGAGCTCCGGCAGAGGGAAGCTCGGCCGCCGCCGCCGCCGCCTTTCCGCCCGCGGGCCCGGTGCCTCTCCCGCCCCGCCGCGCCGTCGGCAGAGATGCCGCTGTAAAGCCGCCGCCGCCGCCGCCCGCGCTCCGCTCTCCCGCCGCTCGTCCGCAGAGGCGGCCGGCATGTCTCCGGCGCTGCTGGCGCTCTGGCTGTGGCTGGGCTCGGGCGGGGCGCGCGGCCTGGGAGGCGCCCCGGCGGGGCCGGCCGGGCTCCGCTTGCCGCTGCACAGCGCGCTGCCCGGGACGGCCGCGGCGGAAGGGCGGGCACGGCGCTCGGCCGACGAGCGGGATCAAGGCCGTCGCCGCGCCGCCGCCGCCGCCGCCGCAGCAGCAGCAGCAGCTTCGTGGCCATGGTGGACAACCTGCGCGGCAAGTCGGGGCAGGGCTACTACGTGGAGATGACGGTGGGCAGCCCCCCGCAGAAGGTGAGGGCTCTGGGAGCGCCATCCTGGCCCGGAGAAAGCGGCGGCGGCGGCGGGGGGGGGGCAGCCAGGATCGGTGACTCGGAAAGAGCCATTCCGGCTCCCTAGTGGGCTGCCAGAGCCGCCGCCTCTGCGCAGCAGCCTGCGCCCTGGGCAGCGGTGGGTGTCGGGGCGGCTCCTTTGCAGAACCGGCCGCTGGAGATGAGCAAATTGTGGGCCATTCTAGCAGCTGCCCCGGGCGGGCTTCGAAAGAGGGCCTGGACGTGACCTTGAGTCCGGCAGAGGCTCACCTGAGCTGCTTGGCACAGGGCGGTTGCTGCTGGCAACTGGGCATCCCTCCCCCTCCCTCCCTCCCCCCCTCCCTCAAGCTGGCCTTCAGCACAGCTGTTGCTGCAGAAAAGAGAAGGGATAAAGCCCCAACTCTTCTCTCACGGGGCTGGCACAGAGAACTCCTCGGCTGCTTCTAGAGCCCGTCGGTCTCCTGGGCCAGTCAGAACTGGAGATGTAGCCGCCACATCTGGAAACCAAGGCAGCCTGGTCAGGTGGGGTGGGGGGCAGAGACAGTTCCCAATATTTTGTGTCAGTCAGATTCAGCCTCCTTCGGGCTCTTCTCTCTTGCAGCTGAATATCCTGGTGGACACCGGAAGCAGTAACTTTGCCGTGGGTGCAGCCCCTCATCAGTTCCTGCAGCGATACTATCAGCGCCAGCTGTGAGTAGGCAAGGGCGGTGAGGTGAGCCCCTCAGAGAGGAGGGGGGCCTCGCTCCAGAGCTCCCCCAGCTTCCTTTCAGCAAGACGTTGCAAGAGGCAGGGGGGCTCCTGCCTTGTTGCCCCCTCCTCCCTCTGCTGCGCCTGCATGCTGGGCTTTGGGCCTCTGGCTGCCTGCAGGCTTCGGCTCCAGGAAACTAACAGAAGGCTGAGCCCGGCCTCCTCCTCTTGACTGGCCTGTCTGGAGCAACGAGGCACTGCAGAGGGTGAGCCCTGACTTTCTGCTCGTGTCTCTTGTAGCTCCAGCACCTATCGGGACCTGCGGAAGGGAGTCTACGTGCCCTACACGCAAGGGAAGTGGGAGGGAGAGCTGGGCACTGACTTGGTGGCCATCCCTCATGGCCCAAATGTCACGGTCCGGGCCAACATTGCCGCCATCATCAAGTCGGACAAGTTCTTTATCAACGGCTCCAACTGGGAAGGCATTCTGGGCTTGGCATACGCCGAAATTGCCCGGGTGAGCTTCTTTTACCCTTCTGTTCGTCGCTCAAGCTTCATTTCATGCAAGCGGTGTGGTCTTTTCCTGAGAAGGATGCTGGCTGGTTGGATGGGCCGTATTGAGGAGAGTCTGTTTGGGGCGTTTGAGATGCAGGATTTGACCCTTTCCAAGCTCGTCCCCAGCTTTCTCTAGGGCACAGCCCTGCCCTTTGGAGTTAAGCAAAGGCCCTGCCTCGAAGCAACTGCAGCACTGCTGCCCAGAGCAACCCAAGACCCTGCCTAGGTCAGGAAGACGGTTAAAGCCCTCCAGCCTTCCTGTGCCCCTCTGCCCTCCAGATGTTTCACAGTATTGTAGAACCTTCCCATAATTTGTAGCCAACTAGGAATTCTGGGAGATGCAGTCTCACTATATTGCTGGGGGGAGGGGGGGCAATTGGAGAAGTCACAGCCTTGCCTCTTTCCAGCTGAGCGAGGATGCCCAATGGCACTGTTGGCATGCCTTTCTCTCTCTCCCGCCAGCCGGACAACAGCCTGGAGCCCTTCTTTGACTCTCTGGTGAAGCAGACGCAAGTGGCCAACATCTTCTCCCTGCAGCTGTGTGGCACAAGCTTCCCGACCAATGATTCGGAGACCCTGGCATCCGTGGGGGGCAGCATGGTGAGGGCATGCGTCCAAGAGGCTTCTCCTCTCTCTTGCTTGCAGAGGGTGGTTCCCTATTAGGGCATCATGACCTTTAAATGACCTCAGTAAACTCTCTTCTGAGAGAGAAGGAATGAGAGCGCAAAGCATTTACGTGTAGAGAAGGCTTCCACAAGGCCCTGTTTCTTCCCCCAAATGGATCAGCTTTTGCCTGCCCTGCGCCCGAAGAAGGGGGCTTGCAAGAGGCAGCTGCTCCTGATACAGGCCAGTCTCCAGCCACATTCTGGGTGCGTCCCGCCCCTAAGAGTTCCCCTGCACTCCCCTTTCCTCACAGATCATTGGGGGCATCGACCAGACTCTCTACAAGGGCAACATCTGGTACACGCCCATCCGGAAGGAATGGTACTACGAGGTTGTCATAGTCAAGATTGAGATCAATGGGCAGGATCTCCAGATGGACTGCAAGGAGGTGAAGGGGCTGTTGATCCAGAGAGGCGGGGGTGGGGGGAAGGGCTGCCATCTGGGGACTTGGCACAGGTGCTGCATGCTGATTTGGTCAAGTTCACCTGGACTATGGCAGGGAGCCTCAGCACCGCGACTGCCTTGCCTCCCTCAGAGAGTGCCCTGCTGCCACCCGAGCGGCTTTCCTGCCCTGCTCAGGCTGGCTGGGCTCTGCACAAACATGGAGCCAGCACTTGAATTGTGACCCCACCCTCCTTCCCCAGTACAATTACGACAAGAGCATTGTGGACAGCGGCACCACCAACCTTCGGCTGCCCAAGAAGGTCTTTGAGGAGGCAGTGAAGTCCATCAAGACAGCTTCCTCGGTGAGAGGAGCCTGCGGGCGGGCGGGCGGGGGGCAGTCAGTCGTTCATGGGCAGGGGTCTCTCCCGCTCAAGAAGCCAGAAGAGGCAGGGTACCCCAAGAGTGGTTTTGGTTTTGTCTGGGGGGGGGGAGGGCTGCACTTGGTCCCTGCTAGAACCAGCTTGTCAGATTCTGCATCTGGGGAAGCGATGGAAGGCGACGGGTCAGGTGCCTTTCTGGCCTCTGCTGGAGGCTGCCTTTGGTGAGCGGTTTCTCTTCCGGCTCCCTCACCACAGACAGAGAAGTTCCCGGATGGCTTCTGGCTGGGGGAGCAGCTGGTTTGCTGGCAGGTGGGAACAACCCCCTGGAACATCTTCCCGGTCATCTCTCTCTACTTGATGGGCGAGACCACCAACCACTCCTTCCGGATCAGCATCCTGCCCCAGGTGGGTGCCAGCTTCTCAAAAGTGTGTGTGTGGGGGGGGGGGGGAGTCTGTTTGGAGGGCAATATCAGCAGAGGGGAAGGGGGAGCTGGAAGGAAGGTCAGTTGAGAATATTGGTGGTAGAAACCAGCTCTTTTGCCTTTGCGCAGCCTGTGAAAAATGCCTAACCCTCTAGGACTTGAACTCTTGGCCTGGTATTTGTTACGGCTTGGAACGTATCAGCTTTTGTGCTGAGAACGTGGAGCTTTTCTCAACTCCAGAAATACAGAATGGTCTAAAGATTAGTGTTAGAGGCTGAGCAAGAGAGCCCAGGACACCTGTAGCATTACAGGTAATCCTCAATTTACAGTGGTAATTGGGATGGGAATTTCCATCGCTATGGGATGGGGTTGCAACAGCAATTTCTGCAGTCCTACTTGTAGTCATAAATCGAACCCCACTGAACCCCACGGTTGTTAGGCAAACCAACTTCCCGTTGGCTTCCCACAAAGTCAATGGGGAGGCCAGCAGGAGGTTGCAAGTCCCAGGCTGGCAAGTAGGTAAGGGGCTGCTGCTGAGTGGGGAGCGAGTGGAGGGGTGGATGAGGCACAGGGGAAGCACAGCATGTGTTGGGGAGGGTATATGGGGATGGGGGAAACTTTGACTTTCCTTGGCGGCTTCCCCATTGACTTTCTGGGTAAGCCAGAAGGGAAGGTCGCAACTGGCGATCAGGTGATGGCAGGGCATTGAAGTCGTAAGTGTGAGCCGCTTGCTAAGCAGCCAGATCTTAATCACGTGACTATGAGGGTGCTGGGATAGCGGTGACTCCAAGGACCAGTCATAACTACCATTCATTCATTGTAACTTTGGATGGTTGCTGAAAGAACAGTCATAGGTCAAGGACTACTGCACTTTGTTATTCACATTAGCAATACTATATAATACTAACATTACCTATAAGAAAAGTTCAAAATAGGAACTGTTTACACATTGTGAAGACAGTATCGGCTAAACCGTTGATTGGCCCACCCAAATGGTGGGTTTGCTTTTCCCTTTCTGTCTCTCACTGATAAGGCTGGTCATTAAGCCTGTAAAACTTTCTAGCTAATTTTATCTGCAAGAAGAAAAGGGGAGCTGGTACACTCTAACTAAGTAATCTGTTTCCAGCAGGCCAGCCTTCTTTCCCCTGCTGTCCTGGTTTGGGTCAGGCCTTGTTGTTTGATAAGGCTGCCACATGGCCTTGCAGGACCAGAGGCCCAAAGGGGGAACCCTAACAACAGCAGTGAGCACAAGGCCAGAGGCTTTCCCCCCACAAAATGGAGCTCCTCCGGCTAAAGCTAGCTATGCCACTCCTACAGTAGCACTTTGGTTTTTTTAAAAAAACATGCATCAGGTCTTTTCAAGCAGTAAATTTGACCCAAAGATTAACTTCCGAGCTTGACTTTGGATGCTGCTTAAATTTTCTTGGCAAGCCAGAAAGGGATAAATTTTGTATGTCTTGTTTTTACTTTGGCTGTTCACCGCCCTGAGTCCTATATTGGAGAAGGGTGGTATAGAAATTTAAACAAATAAATAAATAAATAAATAAATAAACGCAGCAGGGATCAAAATCAAGAAGAGTCGTCATTCTCATTATGGTTCGTGGGCTGGGCTGCACTTGGACCCCGTAGCCCAGTTTTGGCCACCCCGTTTTAGGAAGGAATTGACAAACCCTGAAGCAGCTCAGAGGGGAGCAGCCAAGGGGACAAGGGCCCCAGACAGGAGACGCTCGTGCCATGGGACGCGCTTAGCCCGGGGAAGAGAAATTTGGGTGTCTCCAAATATCTCAAGGTCTGTTGTGTAGAGGACAGGGAAAGTTGTTCAGAATTGTCCCAGAAGACAGGACAAACTGGTTTAAATGACAGTTAAGAGAAAAGTTTGGACTGAATGTTAGAAAAAATGGAACAGACACCTTTGGGAAGAGTTTTCCATGGGCCTGATGCCCATCCGTCAGGATACCAGATAGTGCAATTCTGCCTCTGGCCGGCCGGGCGTTGAGCTACACAAGGCCCAAGGTGTCCTCCCAGTTCTGTCAAAGAAATGGTTGACTTCCTTCCAACCAACTTAATGCTGGACCTCGTGAAATGATGAACGCCTCGAAGGCAGAGGGTGCACATGGCTATCCCTGATCCTCCTGCCAAAGGCTGCTGCCCCGTTGACCCTTTCTCAGGACTCGGCCTGGCCTCATGCCTTTGTTGCCTCCTTTCTCAGCAATACCTGCGACCAGTCGAGGACGTGGCTACCTCCCAGGACGAGTGCTACAAGTTTGCCGTCTCCCAGTCCTCCACCGGCACCGTCATGGGGGCTGTGATCATGGAGGGCTTCTACGTGGTCTTTGACCGGGCTCAGAGGCGCATTGGCTTTGCGGTCAGCACTTGCCATGGTAGGTCTTAGAGCAGGGAGGTGGGGCAAGCGCTGCCAGCAGTCGCATCTGCTGCTTCCCCACAGAAGAGCTTGGTAGCCCTGACCTGAACAGCTCCACACCCCTTCGGGGGACCTCTGGGGCCACGCTCTGCTCCCTACCAGCATGAAAATGGAGCTTGAATTCAGCTCCAAAGGTGTTCTCAGTGGCAGGTTCTGAAGTGGTTCTTCGGCCCTCCAACACGTCTGCAGCCCCCCTTCTCCCCAGGCCCTTGGGTTACCGGAACCCCACGCCTTTTGAGACCCGGCTGGCTCCTGCCTGCCCTTCCCCAAACATCAGCTGGTCATGCTGGTCTGCCTCTCCTCTGCCATCCCTGGCCTGGTGCTTGGCCCCGGGTTGAGATGGATGTCTGTCAGGCCCCCGTCGTCACATCTCGCCTTGCCTTCTCTTCCCCTTCTGTTCCTGTGTCCAGTGCAGGACGCGTTTCGGACGGCCTCGGTGGACGGGCCTTTCCTGCACCCCAACATGGAGGACTGTGGCTACAATATCCCCCAGACGGACGAGTCAACGCTGATGACCATTGCGTACATCATGGCAGCCATTTGCGCTCTCTTCATGCTTCCTCTCTGCCTGATGGTCTCGCAGTGGCGCTGCCTGCGCTGCCTCCGCCGCGGCCACGATGACTTCGCGGATGATATTTCCCTGCTAAAGTGAGCGCTGCCTCCCCCCTGGCCCAGAGCCCATGCTGGCGACATGGCTGGGCATTGGCAACGGGACCATCGTCCCCTCCCTTAGGGCTGCTGTGGCCTTCGCCTTCTCCAAGCGGGCAGCTGCTGTTGCTGGGGTTGCTCTGCTGCTGCCCAGGGCCCACCACAACTACTGGCCCCCAGCCCATGGCGGGCAGAGAGGTTGGCAGGGCCAGTGGTGGCAGAAGAGCCATTGCCGTCGCTTCCACTGGTGTCCCAGAAGTTCCGCAGCTGGTGCAAGCAGTGGGCAGGACTGGCAGGGTCCCGCCATCTGTCCGGAAAACACCTTTTCTCCCGCTGCTCTGAATTCGCCAGTGACTGCTGCAGTTTGTGCACCAAGCACCAGATGAAGGGGGTGGGGGGCTTCTGAGCAGTACTTCTTTATAATTTATCAAGGGGGGCTGCGTGCTTGTTTCTCTGAATTTCAGTAGTTATGAAACCGAAGGTGGGTTGCTGTACCCCACTTCCGGAGCCTTCAGGTGCCTGCTTGGAACTCTGTCTGGTGACACCATTTAAAGTACACCACCCCCCTCCCCCCATGCCTGCTGGGACAGGGATCAGTTTAAGATGATGGACCCACTGAATTTGTGAGGGGTCACTGGAGGTTTTCTGGGGGGGAGTAGGCTGTGGAACCCTGAATTCCAGGAATCGGGATGGCTGTAACAGCTGCCTGTGGGCGGGGGTGGGGTGGGGGTGAGGGAGACCCTTCTGCTGTTCTGCTTATTGTGTTGCCCTTCCTCCCTGGGAAGTATCCAGTGGGTTCCCCTCCCCCAGGGAGGCCCGTGAGCTGGCCATTGGGGTCAAAGTGCCAGGCCCCACTTCTGGGAGGTGGGGTGATGGAACTCTCCCACTGGCAGAGTCCCTGCAGACAGAGCAAGCACTGACTCTGCCCTCCCATCAGAGGGGTCACCGATGCCAGCCTCCTGCTTGGATGTTGAGCAAGCTGAATCGGCGGCCTTGTCCTGGCACTTCTTCCTCCCCCCCTCTGCGGATCTGGCCCAGCGTTTTTCCTCCCAGCCCAGGAGGGTGGGAAGATTCAGAAGGTTTGAGGCCGAGGCAGCCCTGTTGCCAGCTTGGGCACCCAGAGGCCTTGGGCCATTGGGGGCATCAGAGGCTTCTCAGGGAATGGGCAGTCACAGAGACGTCTTTCCTCAGGAGCCTGCAGCTGGCCTGCCACAGGGCCACCGGCCGAGCCCCTGGCTCTGTTGCAGAGTCAGCTGTAGGCCCCCAACATGCTGCCTTTCTGCCCAACAGGAGCCTCTGGGCAGCTGGTCACCCCGGGGCCTCTGCTGAGCAACACGTGGAGGGTCAAGCAGGATTGGAACAGGGCAGTGGCCAGACCCCTCTGGAGCACAGGCAGTGCTTCCACAGTGGCATAGCATTCCTGCTTGGGCAGGGGGATAGGCTAGTTGACCTCCGGGGCCCCTTCCAACTTCTGTTATTCTGCAGTGTGTTTCCTTTGCAGCGGACAGAAGCGGGTCAGCAGTTACAATTCCCACTGCTGTATTCCTTTTGGGTGTGAGAAGGCCCCCTCCCCTTCCCCAGGCCCCTGGCTGTGCTCTCCCTGAGAGGAGCAGACGGCTGTGGGACTGGGCACTTCTGCCCTCGGGAGGCTGACGGGGCAGAGAGAGACCCCACTGGGTCTCCACTGCTGTCAATGGAACGCTGCTTGGGAGACTCGTGGCGCAACAGGAGGGCGTGGGAGACGGGGATCAGCTGCAGTCAATGTGCTTGTACAATATTTTGTAAATATTTGTAATATTGGCTCCCCAATCTTCCCATTTTGTCTCAAATGCAAAAGGAGAAAAAAGCTGGAAAACCTTTTACCTGTGTTTTGTGCTTTGCTAAATGCCAGGTGGTTTGGTTGGGTTTTGTGGGTTTCATGCTGCCCAGAGGGAGAGGTGGGACAGGATGGGGGACGTGTTTCTCACTCCTGCGAGGAGCCAAGTTGGGGTAAAATCAGTGTCTTCCAGTCCCACTCAATGTGGACCAGGCCACCACTTGCTAGAACTGCCCTCCACAGCGTGGCATTTTCAGTGTGCCTCTTATCAAAGGATGCCTTCACAGTGAGGCCGTTTCCCCTATTGCTAGAGTCCCAGCTTTAGGCCTGAACCCCCCACCCTCTCCACGCGCACACAATGCCGTTAATTCATAGGATGGGTGCCAGGCAATCCAAGCCAGCCTCTGCAGTCCCATGGGCCCTCACAGGCAGGGAAGGACCCCACAGCCCTGTGGAGTCTGTCCTGATCTAACCCTGATGCCCCCCTGAAGGAAGCGTCAGTGAGACCAGCAGCAGCCAGCCATTGGCAGCAGGGAAGGCTGGGCCATTCGGGGTGCCCACAAGAACCTCTCTCACTCTGCAGAGCCACGAACCTTCTCGAGCTGCGTGGCCAAAGCAGAGGGAAAATGCTCTGGCTCTCATACCACCTTCCAGAGCCAAACCCTCTGAAGTAGGCAAAGGAGGATCCCGCCCAACTGCTGCATAATATACACATTTTATTATGAACTGGTATGGATGTGGACTTTCTATACACACATTCCCTCTAGAATAAAAATGTACAGGTGTATACATTGCCATATAAATACAGAGCTGTAGGAAGGCGCCTCCGCCTGCTCTCTCCAGTCGGGGTCATTTCAGGGCGGGGCAGAAGGGACAGGCGTCATTCGTGTTCGTCTGAGCCCAGAACTTGATGCACTGCGAGGGAAGAAGTGCTGCCCTTCAGCCCCAGGGGGAGGGGGCATTGCAAACCCCTCCTCCCCAAGCAACCCTCCTCCTCCTGACTCTGTCTGTACCCAGAGGCCTAAGGAGCACCTGTCATCCTCTATGCAGTCAGGCCAACACACACACACACACACACAGACCAGGGGTCTCATCAGCCCCCTCACCTCCTTGTGCAGCACGTGTGAACAGGCCATGGGGTGGAGATCGCCGGGTGGCACCAGCTTCTGGCACATCAGACAGAGTTTGCAGGTCACAGGTGCCTGGCAGAGAGAGAAGGCAAAGACCGGCATGAAGTCCAGGCAAGGGATGGGGGGAAGGGGTCTCCCCAACATGGTGGCTGAGCAAACTCTGAAGACTCCACTGGACTCACCTGGGGCGGCGTCCCAGAATAGGAGCCCTGTGCAGGTGGCAAGAACAAAGGGTTGCTGATCTGTGGCAATGGACCCGGGAACAAGGGGGAGCACATCCGGCTATGGGGCTGTGGCAGATGAAAGCAGACCCGTTAGGCGGAGTCGCAGCCAAACTCAGCCCCACAGCTTGCCTGCAGCCTTGTAATGCCTAGAATTCCCAAGCCTTGCTGGCCAGCCCACCTGGGTGCCAACAGCTGCCACCCGTTCCTGCTGCTCTGCCACCTTGGCTGCCACCAGCTGGCTCAACTCTTCCATGGTGAGTCCTGCCAAGGTCCTTCGAGCTGCTTTGATCTGCTGGAGGACATTGGTCAGCTGGGCCCTGTGAAGAGGAGAGGGCTCAGCTCGGGCAAGGGCCAGCCTTGCCCACCAGTCCCCCACCGGCCGCCGCCTCCTGTGGGCCAGTGGCCACAAGCATCCGCTCTGCCATGCAGTCTTCCCTTCCGCTAGGGCAGAAAGGGGTACGGCTAGCCCACCTCCCAAAGTGGCCCCTCGCCCTGGGGGCTGCCTCCTACACTCACTTGTTACACTGAGGACAGCGCGACATCAACTTCTCCAGGATCTTCTCCAGCTTGTCCACAGGGGGGGGTCTATGGAAGTCAGATGGGGTCTTGACTCCACCCAGGCCTGGCGGGGGAGGCAGCGAGGGTCCGGGCGCCCCATGGGAACTGACCAGGGAAGTGAGGCAGGGGCTGTTCCGCTCCTGGGCTGCAGGCAAAGTCGGCGAAGGCTGACTGGGCCTGGCGATGAGGCTGGGGTTCAGCAGGGGGAAGGCGAGCACCCGTGGGTCAGCGCTGGGCATGACCATCGGGGGCATGGAAACTGACCCGATAGGGAAGGGCAGCTGGGGGGCGAGAGAGGAGCTGGCCTGGAAAGGAGGCAGCAGAAAGTCTGTCTGAGGAAAAGAGGAGGAAGATCGTCAGTCTGGTGCCTGGCAGCGGCCAGGGCCCCGATGCCAGCCTTCTGCACCCCGTGGCTCACCTCCAATGGGGGCGGGGGCAGAGGAGGGGTGGGGATCTGTGGGAGACTGCTCAACTTGGCCCCGTTCCGTACCAGCTGGATGTGGTCGTTGAACTTGTCCTGGAAGACAGATGTGCGTTGAGCAAGGAGGGTGGGAGGCACAACAGTCCTGGAGAAGAGCTCCAGCAGCACCTCAAAAGTGGAGCACCCCACAAAGCTCTTCCTCCAGAGGCCAACAAAGGTCTTTGCAGCTTCATGCGGAGGAAGCCCCTCCAGCAGCCTCCAGATCCACAAAGCCTCCGTGGGAACAGCCCTGGGATGCCTCCCATGATCCTGAGGGACACAAGTCCCGTTCCACTGAGGCAACTTGGGGGGGGTGGTGACGGACTTCTGCACTTACACGGACGCTCTCCTTGGTCATCCGTATTTTGTTCAGCCTGGTCTCCCACTCCTGCTTTGGCCGGATGGTCTCCAGCGTTGGGGGCGCTGACCTACGCGCAGGAGATGCCGTGGGTGGGTGGGTGAGGAGAGTTCTGCCCTGAGCTCGCAAACCCCAAGACCCTCCTAGCTCAGGGGGAGAAGCCTCGGCCTGCCCCTGCTCCTCTCCTTCCCCGAGTCTTTTAAGCCCAAGGTTCTGAATGAGGCGCTGCACCCTCAGTCACAGAAGGGCAAGTGTGACGTCATGGAGCGGGCGACAAGGCCTGCCTGAAGCAGGAGAATGGGCACGGGGCAGTCGCGCGCAGAGCTCAGCCTCCCAGCAGAAGCATGGTGAAGAGCGGGACAGGAGCAAGTCCCCCCCACCCCCGGGAGGGGGGGGGAGAAACTCAAGCTTCTGCTCCAGGCCTCCCTCTTGCAGACGACATCGCCCCTCTCGCCCCAAAGGTGGCTGGGGCAAGTCACCCGCTGGCTTCCAAGGTCAGGATGGCCCCTCAGCAACAGGGCCTTCTCTGCCCACTGAGCCCACCCGCAGCCACGCTCACGTGAGGTAGGTGAGGTGCAGCTCCGCTTCTTTCTCGGCCTCTTCCAGTTTCAGCACCAGGAGCTCCTTCCGGCTCTCGAGAGACAGGATCTGAGAAAGGGGAGGGGGCAAGCTGAAAGCACAAGTCACAGTAACCTCCCCCCGCAGGGCATCTGGCACACCAGCCTTATGGGTGCTGCCGAAGCAATATCTGGAGAGGGGCCGTGTCCTTCCCACTGATGCAAACAGCCCCTGGAGGAGGCTTGGCGCTCGCCCAGCTCCCCCACCTCTGCTTTCCAGGCCCGCTCTGTCTCCTCCAAGATTGACCGGTTGATGTCACTCTGCTGGTTCTTCAGCTTGCCCAGCTCCAGTTCCCAGGCTTCCCTGCAGAGCAAGCAGAGATGCCCGCTGAGCAAAGAGGCCTGCCAGGAGCCCTGGAGGAGCCACCTTCAAGCAGTGCCGCTTTTCCAGCTGGCAGAAGTAGGAAGAGGCCTCCGGGACAGTGGGGACGAGCCCCTTGCCCTCCTTTCCATTTGAGGTCACCTTCAGGGAGATGCAGAAGGCCCCACCCCGCCCCCCCACTGCTTACTTCTCCTCTGCCTGTTCAGCAATCAGCGAAACAATCTTGGTCTCCTTCTCTTCTTGCTCCTTCAACAGCCTGAGGAAGGGAGGGAAGGAGAGAAGGGCAGCTCAGTGAACGCTTTGGGCTCAGAACCAGCTTTCTGAACAGGCCAGTAGCTGAGACCCTGAAATACCTCCGGCCTTTCTCACAGAGCGTCTCAATTTCTGCCTTCAAGTCCTGTTCCTTTTGCAGAAACTCCTTCTTTTCCTTCTCCATCTTCTTCCTAGTTTCTTTTCGCTTAACGGTCACATCCTGAATGGCCTTCAAGATCTCCTGGGGCAGAAAACAAGCAGAAGCATTTTCTCAGTGCTGTCAACGTGGTTTCAAAGTTCTAGACACTTTGGGCTCCGCAATCTTCAACCGATAACCCGCTCAGCTGCTCTCCGTTTCTGGTGTCAGATGGGATTTCTGAAGTCCCACAAATTCTCCAAGCACCATCGCTCCCTCCTTCTTCCCCGGTGCCCCCCTGGTTTGAGCCTGGCATTCCCAGCCTGGCCAAGGCAGGCCCACCTGGTGATTCTTCATTTCTTCTTCTCTGCGTTGTTGCAGATGCTGGAGCTGCACCTGCAGCTGGTTCTCCACCTGCCTCTGCTTGTCCAGGACTTCTTGGTATCGCTCCTTCAACGAAGCTCTCTCAGACATCATCTTGTCCTATCGGGCAACAAGAGAGAGGTTTGAATTCTCTGGGCCACCTTCAAAAGACAAAACCTTAAGCCAGCATGGCCAAAGTCCCCTGACTGGATTAGAGGACCCTGACCAGCGAGGATGCCAAGCGGAACAGTTTGACAAGCAGAGTGCAGAAAGCCCCCTTTCTCCACCGGATGAGCCTTGGGCATTTCAGTCACAGCCCCAGCACCACCAGAAGACGAGAGTCCCGTACTTACTAAGTTCTTCTCCATGTCCAGGTCGGTGCTAGCTGCCAAGTCAGCCGTCCTGAAGTCAGTCTGCAAAGGGAGAAAAGGGTTTGTTTGTCAGCAGCCAAAGGAGGAAACGTGACCGACTCCCTCGATGATTTCTGCCTAGCAGCCTCTGGTCAAGCGGCACCACACAGGTTTGGGGCCTGGCTGGTCCCCCATCACGACACTAACTGACGCAGAGAAGGGGGCTCAACGCCCTCTTTCTCTTCCGCCACCCAGATTTCTTGGACTGCCACAGAGGCGAGGAAACCACCTGCATCTCTTTGCTGCATTTCAGTGGAGGACCAGGCCCCTTCCGGGGATCCCGAGCCTCCCAGCCCAGCCCCACTTCCTACTGGGAAGGTTCACCACTCCCTGACCTGGACTGCAATGTTTTGGGACGGTTTTGCAGCCCCATCATCTTCCTGACCCTGGCTCTTCACGCCCAAAGAGGCTGCCAGAGGCACATCTTCCAAATCCGGGCACCCATTCTGCCGCCTTCCGTGCTGCAAGATCAAAGACCCCAGCTCAGCCTCTGAGCAGTTAAGGTCCTCGGAGTGGGCTGTCTGTGGAAGCAGCGGGGCTGTTGGTAGACTTTCCCCAGGCGGGGAGGCTCTCTTTTCTCCCACAGCATTGTCCAGATCAGGCAAGGAGGGCGCCTCACTTGAGGGGCTGGCCGGAGGCAAGTCAGCAGCCTCAGACAAGGAAGACTCTTCCGGGGGGAAGCGGTGCTTGGGAAGCGGCGAGGCGGCCGAGGGAGAGTCCGGCTCTTTGCAATCCCTTTCGAGTTCATCCTCCGGGCGCTCGGGCTCCTTCGGCCGGCTGGGCTTGGCAGGATCCAGCGGGAGGCAGCTGCTTTTGCCGACAGGAAGGTCACGAAGGCCGACCAAGAGAGCGGAGGGGACGGAGGGGGAGAGAAGGAGGCTCAGTCCGTTTTCTACGGATGCTGCCGCCCCCCCTGCGCCCCACGGCCCCTTCCCGGGGAAGCCCCTCGCCACAGGCGGCCCAGCTCAGGGAGAGGCGGGCGCTCGCTCCGCTTGGCGCTGGGGAAGGTCCCCGGGCAGGCCCAAGCCCCGGAGCCCCGCGCGGCTTCCGCCTGCCGCAGGCCCTGCAGGCCACTCGGCGCCCGCAAAAGCGGCTCCGCACCGGCGCCACCAGCCCCGCAAAGGCCGAGGGGGACGGAGAGCTCCGCCCGGCTCCCCCGGGATGCTCGGCCCCTCGGGCGCCGGAGGAACCGCAAAGGGCCCGAGCGACCCTCCAGGCGCCGCCCCCGCAGGCCCCCCCCTCCGCCCCCCGGTCTCGGGCGGCCTACCTGGCGGGGGCGGCGGCGGGGGCTGCGCGGGGGGGCCCGGCATCCGCGGGGGCCTCCGCCTCGGCCATGGCCGCCTCCTCCGACGCCATCGCCCGGCCCGAGAGGCGACGCCGCAGCCCCTCCGGGAGACCCCGAGGCCGCAGCCGGGGAGCCGTGTCCGGGGCTCAGCCTGCCCCTCCGGCCGCGGGACCCTCGCCCGCCGCTCCGCTCCGCGCCCTGCCCAACCCGCCCAGGCCTCCGCGCGGCCTGCTCTTCCTGCCGGCGGGCGGCGCCGCGAGGCCGAGCGGCCAGAGCGGCGGCACGGAAAGGCCGACGCGCCCGCAGCGCCCCCCGTCGGAACGGAGGGGCGGCGACGGAGCATGTGCAGAGCGAGCCGTGGAAGCTCCGCCCGCCCGCCCGCGGAGGAGGAGGAGGAGGAGCGTCCCTGTGTCTGCCTGCCCCGCCCCTCCCGTCCAGCAGGGAGGGCGGGGCCCAGCGGGCACCGGACGTGACGTACACCCCTCCCCTGCCCCGCCCTCCACTCCAGCCAGGTTCGCGCGGTGGGTGCGTCTGGGCAGGGCGGGCGGGCGCTTCCGGGTGGGCGGCCTTTAGGACCCCGGCGCTGTCCGGGCAAAGGGGCGGGGAGGGTCGCGGGCCGCCCAGAGCGCCCAGAGCGCAGCCGGGACCAGCCCCCCTCACGCCCCCCTCCCCCCCCTCTCTCCCCCCCTCCCCCGGCAGCCGCTGGTCCGATGCTGTCCGGCCATGGCGATCGGTGATGGAGGCCGCCGGGGACGCTCGCCAATGCCCTGCCCGGGCGCTGCTGCTGCCGCTGCTGCTGCTGCTGGTGCTGGCCGGCTGGGGCGCCTCGGGGGCTCCGGAGCAGCGGGCGGGGCCTTGGGCTTGCTCGGCTGGCCGCTGCCCGGAGAGCCTGGCGTGGGCCGTGCGCCTGACGGGCCCCGAGGAGGAGCTGGACCGGCTGGCCGATGACTTGGCCCGGGAGGCCCGCCTGGTCAACGTGGGCCGGATCGGCGAGCTGAAGGGCCACTACCTGCTGGCTTACCGGCCCGCCGGCGCCTCCGACCGGGCCCCCGGAGGGCTGCGGGAGGCGGCCGAGGCGCTGTTCGCGGGGCACGCGGGCGTGGGCTGGCACGCGGCGCAGCGGCTGCTCAAGCGCTCCAAGCGCGCCCTGCACTTCAACGACCCCAAGTTCCCCCAGCAGTGGCACCTGGTAAGCCCCCAAGGCTGCGCCCTGCCCCGCTCCTTCCTCCTGGGCAGCCCCCCTCCCTCGGCCCCTGTCTGCCCGGCAGCAGAGTCCCACCCATGGGGGGCAGGCGCCACTGTGGCTCCCCCCCCCACCCGCCACCGCCGCGGAGGCTCTGGGGCTGCTGCCCCCTTGCTGGCCACCCTTCCTCTCTCGCAAGCAGGACAACCGCAAGAGCCCCGGCATGGACATCAACGTGACAGGCGTGTGGGAGCGGAATGTGACAGGCCAGGGGGTGACGGTGGTGGTGGTGGATGATGGGGTTGAACACACCATCAAGGACATCCAGCCCAACTACGTGAGTCTTGCCCCCCCCCCCCCCCCCTGGCCCAGTTCACGTCCAAGGGGGCGGCAGTGTTTTCCTCTGGGCCTGGCAGAGGAGGGGCAGTCTGGGCTGGGTTTTGGGGCCCTTTTCAGGTGAGGAATGGGGGGGGGACAAAGGAAGCTGGGCTCCCGACAGGTTCAGAAGGCAGCTGTCTCAGGCCTGGGGGGTGGGGTTGCTGCAGCCTCCCCAGAAGGTCTCCCCTCCCTACAACTGTTGAGCCTCTTGGTGGAGGTGGGTGAAGCAGTGGGACGGGGGCCTGTTTCCCACCCTGCTAGCTTTCCTCTCAGAAGGCCCGGCCCCAGGGTGGGACGGCTGTTTCATGCCCTTTGGAGGAGGATTTGATGGGTTGTGGTTGGACCAGGTCGGCTGGGAGTCCCTTGGGGCTTGAAGGCCATAGGCAGGAATGGGCTGGCTTCCCCCTGATGGGCCAAGGAGAGGAGGGGTCTCAGGCTGCTCTCTCTCCCTCCCAGAGCCCAGAAGGCAGCTATGATTTGAACTCCAATGACCCTGACCCCATGCCCCACCCGGACGAGGAGAACGGCAACCACCACGGGACCCGCTGTGCCGGGGAAATTGCAGCCGTCTCCAATAACAGCTTCTGCGCAGTGGGCGTTGCCTTTGGGAGCCGGATTGCAGGTGCTGCTCCCGCCCAGTTCTGCAGGGGAGAGGGTCAGGTATTGAGGGATGCCTGGAATGACCTGGGGAGACAGGAAGGAGAGGCTGCCGAGGGAACAGTGGGGTAAGAGAGGGAGTAGCCCCCAGCTGCACAAAGGGCAGAGAAAAAGGCTCAGCCCCCTTCAGCTCTCAGGCTCTAAAGGAAACTGGTACTTTCAAGACTGCATTGATTCTGTCAGTGCAGCCTTAGCTCAGCTCATCTGGCCTGTCTCCGGTCTGGTCACCCTGGCAAGGCTGGCAGGGCAGGAGAGAGGAAGCCCAAGAAGGGGGGCAGAGGAGCTTCCTCGCTTGCACTGTGCAGGGAAGCCACAGAGAAGGGCTGTCGAGGTTGCAAGGCCACGTATGTGAACTCTCGGAATAATCAGAAGTTCTACAGGTTGCAATTAAAACATTTAATGCTCTGTTTCACACTCTCCGGTCTTTCAAAGAGAGCCCCCCCCCTCCCATGGAGGCCCACAAGAAGCAGCATTCGTTCCCTCCCAGGTGGCACTTCCTTCCTTGGCACTGTCTTTGGGGCCAGGTAAATTAGCCAGTGAGTCAAGGATTGTAGCCTCTCAGTGGCAGGTTAGAAACCAGGTGATGGTGAGCTTCAGTTCCTGAGAAGCCCAGCCCCGCCCACCCCAGAAGTGGTGATTTTTAGAGCTGCCAAAGGGGAGAATTATTCAGTCCAGAACTGGAGACTTAACAGTTTGCAAGGTATTTGATTTTAACTAAAATTAAGCAAAACAGCTTTTCTCCAGTCCTCTGGATTTTTACTAGGAGTTGCTCATTCATGCCCTAAAAAGTTCTGTGCTCCCATTGCATGTTTTGGGGGGACGGAAGAGCCCCGGTAACAACGGAGAGAACAGAAGCCTTTGCTGGAGGGCCTCCTTGGCCTTTCACACTCCTTGCCTTTGGGCCACACATACCCCGCCCCCCTCCCTCCCGCCCCTATGCAGGTGGAATCACCTGCAGCCTCTTGCCCCGCAGGGATCCGCGTGCTGGATGGGCCCCTCACAGACAGCCTGGAGGCCGTTGCCTTCAACAAGCACTATCAGATCAATGACATCTATAGTTGCAGGTTTGTAGGAATTGCCTTGCAAACTGTTTGTGCATCTATTTTGGTCCTGCCTTCATTATTGTGTTATAACTAACTCCAGGCAGGGACCATGCCTCTTTTCTCCTCCACCTTTCCCCTCCACAGCAGCCCTGTGTGGTGGGCTGAGCTGAGAGAGGGGGCCACCCAGAGAGGCTCCCTTGCGCTCTGCAGACCTCAAAGGAAAGCAAACTCCCGCTCAGCCCTGGCTCACTCAAAGGACCCTTGCCCTCTTCTTTCGGGGATGGGGGCAGGGAGCCCGTGCTGAATCCCAGCCATTGCTCTCCTTGTGCCGTTAAACGTCCTTCTCTGCCTCTTCCTTTGCAGCTGGGGCCCAGACGACGATGGCAAAACGGTGGATGGCCCCCATCAGCTTGGAAAGGTAAGAAGGAATATAGGGAGGGGGGGGTTAGGGTTAGGGTTAGGGTCTTCAGGGAGGCAGAGCACAGGCCCGGGTTGGCACGGTGGTGCCCTGGCATCTGCAGGGCCAGGTGGCTAATGAGTTTGCCAGGCTGTCACCTGAGCAGAAGGGGCTGCACAGTTTCTGCAGGGCCAGGAAGCGGGGGGGGGGGGGGGGGGGGGGGGGGGGGCCCTCCTAAAGCGTTTGTCCTCCACAGGCCGCCCTGCAGCATGGTGTGATTGCTGGCCGGAGGGGCTTTGGCAGCATCTTCGTGGTGGCCAGTGGCAATGGGGGCCATCACAACGACAATTGCAACTATGATGGCTACGCCAACTCCATCTACACAGTCACCATTGGTAATGGCTCAGCGAGTGCTGGGGTCGCTGTGCTTTCGCCTTCCTCAGTCTGGGTTGTCTCCCGCCTGGCCGTGGGGGAGGCCCAGGTGCCCTGATGGTTGGTTGGGGAGCCGTTTGCATCCTGTGCCATTCGAGACGCAGAACGGTTTCTAGGTTCTCCTCCCAAGATCTGCCGGGGTTTCTTTGAGAGGTTTCTCTGAGCGGTTTCAGCCGTGTTTCCCCTTTTCCCTCATGCAAATCCCGGTCTGGAGCTGAGGCAGAATTCAGGGGAATGGCGTAGGCCAGGAGTCCCCAACCCCCGGTCCTTGGCAGCCCCAAAAATGGTCTCTGCACAAACAAGCAAAGCTCCATCTGCAGAAGGCAGACAGCAAGCGAAACCAGGCCCCCTCCAGTCTGCGGCAAAAGTTCTCTGCACAGAACTGGTCCCTGGTGCCCAAAAGGTTGGGGGCCACTGGCGGAGGCCAAGTGTGTCTAGGTGGCCCTTTGCCGTCCCTAGAGTGATGGCGAAGGGCCTTTGAGGGTGGGGGGGGAGGTAGCATGGCGGGGGGGGGGGCACAAAGCGCCTGAGGCAGGAGCTCTGCCCCTTGGAGCTGCTGGTCTGACATCCGGCATGATTGGACAGAACAAAAGGGGCTGAGTGGTCATTTCCCTGCTAGAGAGAGAGAGTCCCGACCCAGCCGGCCTGATGTTGCCCATCTGCCTCGTCCGTCTGGCCAGGAGAGATTCATTGCCAGGCTGAAGCTGGGAGACCTGTTGTCCAAGCCAGAGGCTGGGAAGGGAGCAGCATTGCCAGCCTGTAGGGAAATTGCAGCAGGCCTGGAAAAACTGCCTGGGAGCTGCTCGGGAAGAGGCCAAGCAGCTGCCATTCGGGGGTGGGTGGGTAACATTCTTCCCACCCAGAGTTGGATTCGTGGCCGTCAAAGGCTCCCTTCCTCCCTCCCTCCCTCCCTCCCTCCCTCCCTTCCTTCCTTCCTTCCTTCCTTCCTTCCTTCCTTCCTTCCTTCAAGCTGTGGATCTCTGGGCTCTCCCAAAGGGGTGTGGGCTTCACTCTGCAGCCACAGAAAAGGAGGCCAGGCTGCTGGCTGCAAGGGAGGCATATGGACCCTGGGGAGCTCTGCCCCATGGCAAGACCACCTTGGCTAGCAATGCTGGTCCTCTGGGGAAAGCGCCAGCAAGGCCAGGCGGAAGGAATCCAGTTGGTTCTTGCAGTCCCCAAGCAAGTGCCAGTCCCCGCTTGGGGTCTCTGCTCTCTGTTCCCCAGGCGCCGTGGATGAGATGGGTTACAAGCCGTTCTACGCGGAGGAGTGCGCCTCCATGCTGGCTGTGACCTTCAGTGGAGGCGACAAGTTGATGAGAAGCATTGTGAGTAGAGCCCACTTGAGCCCCAGCCTTTGCCCATCCTCTCTCAGTGCTGGGGGGGGGCACAAGGGGGGGGCTTTGTCTCCTTCTGGATGCCAAGGAAGATTTCCCAGGGTCCTGCTGGCCATTTCCAGATGGGCTGTTCTGGGGGTGCTCCTTTCTTCCAGAACCCTCCTGGCTTACATCTTCCCTCTCGCCAGCCATGGGCAGAGAGAGTCCCTGTGGAGACCCCTTGCCCCTTTGTTGGCAAGGGCCCTGGCACCGGGCTCTCCCCTTGGACGCTCCTTTAGGCCGGCCAGAGGCCCTGGAGGAAAAAGAGCCCCCTCTTTTCTGGGCTCCTTTGTGCCTGTGTCTTTTGCTGCAGCAACTGCAGCTTTTCCTTTGGGCAGTCCATGTCCCAGGGGTGATATCCGACCGGTTCGGGCGAATCGGTAGTGGACATTTGGCCTGGGTCACCGAACTGGTAGCGATCACTGGCTGGCCATGTCCCCGAACCGGTCACTGCTTGCTCACCCCGCCCCGCCCAGTCTCTGCTCTGCAGCTTGCCTGTCTGAAGTGCTGCGCCCCAACTGAGCGGCCCTAATCTGCCTGCCAGATAAGCCTGCAAGTCACGGCCTAGCTAGCTGCCCCTGCCCTCCCTCACTGTCCCAGCCTGCCTTCCCTACTGCCCCATGGCCCGCAGCCCTGCCATGCTTCCCTGCCTTCCATGCGGCCTTCCCGGTGTCCCCTTGGCCAGACCCGCATGTCAAGCCCGCCCGGCCGTGGGGAAGGGAGCTAGCAGCCTACTCCTTTCCCTGCAGCCCTGCCATGCTTGCCTGCCTTCCACGCGGCCTTCCTGGCGGTCCCTCACGCCCGCTTGCCTTCCGAGGTCGGTGCCCAGCCCATGACGGGAGATGCGCCGCTTCTGGCCTGGCTTGGCTCGGCCAGCGAGTGGGCGGGCATCCCTTGGGGGAGATGCAGCCACTACACTGAGGCTGAGAGGGGCCACTCGCGTCTTCCACCGCCGTCGCCGGGGCTGAAACTGCTGCTCCGTTGCAGTGCGCATGGGCGGGCTGGCTTCGTTGGGATGGGCATGCTGAACACGCTGGCAGAGGCCTGTGGGAGATGTAGAAGGCAAGGCCGACGCTGGCGGTGGGGGAGGGAGAGCTGCTGCGATCAGCCGAAGAAGAGCCGCCTCGGGGGGACATGGTGAGGCTCGCTGGTCTTTTGGGCCTGGCACGCTCGTCTTCCGTGGGGCCTTTGGGCGACTGCCACCCTCTTGCCTTCCCCTCCACCTCTGGTCCCGCTGCCCACATCCAGCCCATGATGGGGGAGCCTCCGCTTCCAGGCTGCCTGCCCTCCCAGAGCACCACCGCCGCTCGCTCTCTTCCTTCTCCCGCTGCCGCTGCTGCTCAGACCGTGTGTGTGTGTGTGTGTGTGAGAGAGAGAGATAGAGAAGAAAGAACAAAAGAGGAAGGGAGGGACAAGAAAGGAAAGAAAGAAAAGACAAAGAATGAAAGAGAAAGAAAGACAAAGAGGAAGGGAGAGAGAGAGAGACAAAGAAGAGAGGAAGGGAGAGAGAGAGAGACAAAGAAAAGAGGAACGAAGGAAGGAAGAGGAAGGGAGAGAGAGAAAGAAAGAAGGGGGAAGGGAGAGAGAGAGACAAAGAAAGAAAAAGGAGAAAGAAAGAAGAGGAAGGAAGCACCACAAACCCTAACATTAGACGTGGCTTCAGAAGATGCTTTGAAACAGCACAGCAATATAGGGCTGGAAGGGGTCTCGGAGGTCATCTAGTCCCAGCCCCTGCTGCAGCAGGAAACCTTACATGGTCTGGATTATTTTGGAGCCTCTTAACAGAGAGGAAAATTGCCAGAAAGGAGGAGGAGTTGACTAGGACAAGGCTGCCATGCAGTAGAAGGCAGAGATAGTCCTTGACTTATGACCATAATTGAGCCAAAATTTTGATTGCTAAGCAAGAGCGTTGTTAAGTGAGTTTCACCACATTTTACGCAATCCATGACATCTCCTGGCTCTAACAGTGATGTCAAGTTGGCCACACCCACCCATTCCCATGACCACCAAGCCATGCCCACCCATTCATATGATCACCGAGCCACGCCCACCCATTCCCATGACCACTGAGCCATGCCCACCAAGCCACGGCCACAGAACCAGCAGGGAAAATTTTGGGATTTCGCCACTGCCTGTCCCCTCTTGCCGCTGCCCCGTTGCAGGGACCCCATCTTGCTGGCTTCTGTGGGGGACGCTTGGCCAAATGCCGGACAGGGCCCTGGTTCCACAGGGCAGCCAAGCAGGAGGAGGAGGCAGCCGAGGCCAGGGGCTCCCACGCTGCCCCTCTGCCCGTCCCTCAGGCCCCAGTCACGGTCCTCCCGGGGCCAGCGACTGGCCTGGCAAGGCTGGTTTTTCTGCCAGACCCCTCGGTGCCGATGTTTCCTTAACGGGAAGAATTTCTCCCGTTTCTTCTTGGCTGCTGTTTCCCGGTAGGGCTTGTCTGAAGGTGGATTTGCAGGATCCCTGTTAGCAGCTGACCGAAGGGACGGATCCTCAGTTAGCTCAGCGCTCTTGGCGGGGGAGGAAGAAGGGAGCCCCCCAAACAGGCAGACTGAGCGCTCCCCACCCGCCCCGCTGGGCGTAGAGGGGGGCTCTGTGGGCTCTGCTGGGCCGGGCAGAGTCCTGCCGGATTCTGAAATGATTAGTCCTGTGTGGAAGCAGCCCAGATCCCATCCCAGCAAGGACCCCAGGACGCCTCTAGAGGTTTTGCGTGGGGGAGGAGGGCCAGGAGCCCCCCCCTCCCAAGGGTGTCCTCCTCGTGCATCCTTCAGCACCTGGCTGGAGCTGCCCCCCCCGCACTTGGGAGTCAGGGGTCCCCCGGGAGAGACTTCCCTCTGGCGCCTCTTCCCAGCCGGCTCCTCAGACAGAGTTCCCGTCTCTCTGCAGGCAACAACCGACTGGGATTTGCAGCGGGGAACGGGCTGCACAGAAGGGCACACGGGCACCTCTGCTGCAGCCCCCTTGGCTGCCGGACTGATTGCCCTCATGCTGCAGGTGCGTCCTTGCCTCACCTGGAGGGATGTCCAGCACATCATTGTCTTCACAGCCACTAAGGTGAGCCAGGCCCATGGAGCCCCTCCCCCCCCCCCCAGCTAGCCATTGGCACCTGAGCTGGCTGGCTTTCTATGGACCAGAGCTTCCCTCCCGTCTCTGTGGGGCCTTTTAATAAGGGTGCCCCGCTGCTTCTCTCCTGGCCTGCCTCAAAGGAGGACCCGCCCTTTTCCTCCACACTACTGGAGGCCACTCTCGTCTTTGAGGTGCATTGCCAGCCAGGCCCCAGCCCCCCCCTCCGTGGCACCCAGTGCCGACCCTTGGCACAGCCCAGCCTGCTTCTCCCTGCCCTGCCACCATGAGCTTGTGCCAAGCATGCCTTCTGAACCTGTGAAGCAGGGGTCCCAGCCAGAAAGGATGGCCCTTCCATCCGGGGTCTTCTCCGGCCACACGATCAGGGCCCCGGGGCCTCACCTTGCCTTGACCGGCTCTCCCACTGCCTCCTTCCACAGTACGAAGACCATCGTGCCCACTGGGACATCAACCAGGCTGGGCTAAGCCACAGTCACCAGCACGGCTTTGGACTGCTGAATGCCTGGCGGTTGGTCAACGCAGCCAAGGTGCCCCCCGCCTCCACCGGGCTTCAGGGCTGTATTTTTGGGGGGGGGGGGGGTCCTTCTTTGGGGGGGGGTTGGTCCTTCTGTCTGGCTTGAACCCTCCCAGGAAAAGGTTCAGGAGTGCCTCCCTGAGACCATAGCTGGCAGGGAAGAAGGCAGCCTCGCCCTTCAGGTGCTCTGGAAGACGGGCAGCCGGATTTTGCCTTGGCTGCTTTAATGTGGGCGTGAGGGCTGGTCTGCCAAGGCTAGGGGTGGGCTAGGGCTGCCTTGGTGGCGCCAGGAAAGCCGAATCCTCTCTTCCTCCTCTGGCAGGTCTGGGAGTCTGTCCCTTACCTGGCCTCCTACGTCAGCCCCCTTCTGAAGGAGAGGAGAGCCATCCCCCTGGACCCGGGGCAGTTGGAAGCCACCTGGAACGGTCTGTGCTGGGGGGGGCGCAGCTTGGGAATCGGGCCTCACCCCCACCCGTTTCACTGGAGGAGGTCTGGCCTCTGCCTGGAGCAGAAGAGGCAGGCAGGCAGACCCAGGGCAAGGACCCAAAGGAGCCGAAGTGCTCAGCCCTGCCAGCGGAGGTGGCCGGCGCCCAGGGCTGCAGCTTGCTCTCCATTTTAGGCAATGTTGCAGCTTCTGTTTGGCCACGCTCCGTCCACGCCTTTCTTCCGGCTGAGCCCAGGACTTCCCTTGCCTGGTGGGCTCCCTGACAGTTCTGCGGGTCCCTCCTGCAACTGGCTTGGCATCTGGTTGGCACCAGAGGCGCCTGGGAACCCAGTGGCCTCCCCGGCAGGCAAGGAAAGCCCCCACCTGTGAGGGGGCTGGGCTGGAGGGGAGAAGCCAGCCAACCCTCTGCTCACCCCAAAGAGGCCACTGTCTCTTTGGCCAGGGTTGGGGGTCCGGCTCCCCTCTGCCTGTGGGAGCTGAGTCCAGATGGACAGCGAGCGTCTTCCCAGCTTCCACACAGGCCTTGCTGTCCGGGGAGACTTTCCCCTGCTAGGAATCATTGAGGCAAGAGGGCTGGGAAATGCCAGACCTTGGAGAAGGGGTCAGGCTCGGTCCTGGGGGGAGGAACTCCAGCTGGTGGGGGGGGGGGGGGGGGGGGGAGAGGGATGCCCCAAGCTTCAATGCTGCAAAACACAGCAACCCCGTCCTCTGCTGGGGGGAGGGGGGTCCTGACACCCCTCAAGGAGGGTCTGAAAGGAACGGGGGGAAGAGTTCCTGCCAGCAGCCAGGCAGTCCGGGTGAATCCAACCTGGTCCGAAGGCCGCAGATACCCTGGACGGCAGCGCTGCTTCTCCTGGGTTGCTTCTCAGCAGCTGCCGAGGGCTTGGCCCGTCCCCGTGAATTTATCCTGCCCTTCATTAAACACACCTCTCCTAGGGGCTCTTGGGGAGGGGTCTGTGGCAAGGGCTGCAAGTGGTGGGAGAGAAGCGCCTGTTCTGAATGCTGCCTGCATTGCTGGGTCCTCTTGGCCCTTCCCGGGGCCTTCGGAAGGCCTCTGGGTTGGGAGACCTTTGCAGACCCCGCATTTGGGACGTTTCTCCCCCCCCCTCCCTTAGTGACCAGAGCCGACCTGGAGCCGTCAGGGTTGAAGACGCTGGAGCACGTGGCTGTGACAGTGAGCATCACCCACCCGCGCCGTGGCAATCTGGAGATCCACCTCCTTTGTCCCAGCGGCATGGACTCCCTGGTTGGGACAGCGCGCAGCATGGATTCGTGAGTGCCCTGCTTCTCGGGGGCAGGAGTGAAAGGGGGCCCTGTGGGGTCAGATGTGCCCAAATGGGGGCAGGACCATCCCTTCCAGCGCCAGGGAAGGCCTTGCTGGACATTCAAGCCCAACAGGGTCTCTCTGGCAGACAGAGAGTTGCCAGGCTCAGCCAGGCGGGGGCCAAGGAGAGAAGCCCCCTCCCCACAGCTTCTCTGCCTCCCCTGCAGAGACCCCACTGGCTTTGTGGACTGGACCTTCTCCACTGTGCGCTGCTGGGGCGAGGAGGCCCAGGGCACCTACCGGCTGACCATCCGTGACGTGGGTGAGTTTCTACCTCTCCCCCTGAGCAGTGGGGAAGCAGGGCTCCCCCCCCCCACGCTTTGTGACCCGCGTCTTCTTCAGGCGATGAAACGCTGAGAGCAGGCAGGCTGGACCAGTGGCAGCTGACCCTCTACGGCTCATCGTGGACCCCTGCTCAGATCCAGGAGCGGCAGAGGTGAGAGGAGCCGACGGCAGAAAGACTTTGCAGCAGGAGGGCCTGCGGGGGGGGACAGCTTCCACAGGCATGCTGAGACCCTCGGAGGGGGGGGGGGGGCTGGGGAGTGTACAGCATGGAGGGAAAAGCAGCTGGCCTTGCAGCTCTCCAGGCCCAGCACCAGCTTTGCAACGCCTGGGCCACCAAGGAAGGACCCGTTCTCGGCAGATGCCCTCCAGCAGCTTCCTTTTGCACAGCTGGCGTGCCACGAGGCTTCTCCTCTCGTGTGACATGCTGAACGCGGTACTTCCGGGGTGGTGGTGGTGGGGGAAGACATCTTGGGGCAAGTAGCAGAGGGGGCAGGGGGCCCATTGTCCCTGCGGTGACCAGCAGGCCCCTCTCCCCCTGCAGGCTGCTGGAGAAGGCGATGAGCGGCCAGTTCCTGAATGGGGACTTTGCCTTGCCTTGCCCCCCGGGCCTCCGGATCCCCGAGCAGCAGCCCTACACCCTCACTGCCAACACCCTCAAGGTGAGACCTTTTGCGCTGGGCGGGGGAGGGAGCCCCCGAGGGGTTGCCACTTTGGGGGGGGGTCTTGATCCCCCCAGAAATTGCGGCTGCCCTACAGCGCTGCCCACTCGGAGGTGCTTTGCCTGAGCCCCTGCCGCTCCCTTCTCCAGACCCTGATGCTGCTCGGGTGCTTTGCCGTCTTCTGGACCTTCTACTACATGCTGGAAGTGTTCCTGACCTGCGACAACGGGGCCTTTGACCTCCCAGCCCGCAGCCACCGGGCCTCCAAGAGCTCGGAAGGAGGAGGTCTGATGGAGGACACGGTGCCCCTGTGCAAGGAAGCCGAGGCTGGAGCCCAGCAACCGTCCCCGGGCCTGCGAGACATGGAGGAGGGCTGGGGATCTCAAGGCCCTCACTGGGGAGAGGATTACTAAACCTCCTGGAGCAGGAGCAGTCTACCTCGGTTGTGGCTTGCTGCGCATGCTAGTGCTGCCTCCCTCTGCTCTGTGCTTCGGGGATCAGCCAAGAGACCTCTCTTGCCCCAGCAGCTCTCCGAGAAGCAGCTTGGCTTTTCTCTGGCTGTCCTGGCTGTGCCCGTCCCCTCTTTGCCCCCAAAGAGGGCCAGAGAGGATTCCTGGGCAGCGCAGGGGCAACGAGACCAGTCCCGCCCAAGGACGAGAGACTCTGGCCTGCGGAGGAGAGGGGCTGCTGCTGGCCAGAAGAGGGCTGTGGCCGTGGGCTCATGCGGCACCCAGAGCTCCTCTCCTCGCCCCACAGCCTGGCAGGTCCTGGTTCTGCCAACCCGCTGCCTTATCTTGCACTCTGCGCCGACTGGCTGTGCCCCCTGCCTGGAGTCAGCCCCAGATTCTGCCACGGCTCCTGCGCTTGCCCGAGGGGCTCGGAAGGCACCAAGTTGGTTCTTCCACTCAGACTCCTGGGACCCTTCCACCCCGTGAGTCTTTCTGGAGACTTGGCTTCCTCTCCCAAGGTCACCCTCAAGCTGGACGACGTATTTTGATTTCTCTGGCTTTGGATGAGCAGCAGCCAGAATTCTTTTGCACTTTTCCAAAATAAACGGTTGTTGAAACTCCAGGTCTGCTGCTCTCTCTGTGCACCAGGAGGCGGATGGAGCAGCCCTGGTCCCCCCTGCCCCCCAATCCTCCTGAGACGGCTGGAAAAGGGGAACTCACTCAACAGGAACTTTGGGCCATCTCTGGCTCAGCCCCCACCCCACCCCCAGCTTCCTGGCCTGGCCCAAATGGGGGCACGAGGACTGGCCCTGGCCTGGCCATGTCCCTTCCTCTGCTGAGCAGCCTTTGTCCTGGTTTACCACGCGGAGAAGAAACTCAAATCGTAGCCAAGGAAACTAAAAGATTCAGTTTTTAATCTAATGAATAACCCCAAAAAAGTACAAAACAGTAGCTTCGTTCTGTGCCCCTGGCAGACTTTGTCGAGAGAGGCTCCTTGGGCAACTTCAGCCAAGTTCGGTTCTGCAGTTGGGCGAAGCCTTCCGGCGGCCCCAGGATGCGTGCCAGGGCCAAAGCAGGCCAGGAGGGTGCGCGGCGGGCGGGCGGGCGGGTGGGTGAAGCGGGCAGCATGCAGAGGCCAGCGGCTCTGGAGTAGGTTGGCTGCCTGGCCGGCTGTTGCTACGCAGCAGCAGCAGCAGCACAAGTCTTTGGGCACGGTGCCCCTTCCGGGAACTGCTTAGGGGGCACGGTGGGGACGTTCCCTGCGGATACCCCTGGTGGCGGTGGCAGCAGCGGGGCAGAGCTTGCCAGGCTGTTAGCAAGAGCGGGAAGACCGGCCGGCTTGGGGGTGGGGGGGCAGCACAGCAGCTTTAGCTGATGATCTGCCGGGGTCGCCCATAGCCTGTCATGCCTGCCTGTGACGCCCCTTTGTTGGAGCCCATCTGTAAGCCGATCACATTCTTGCCCTCCTTCAGCTGGCTGTCGGAGAAGTCCCGCTTGTTCTCCTGGGACTTCCTGGGGAGGGAAAAGGGGTTCACGGTGGAGCCTGGGGCATCGGGTACTCCCCCCGGCAAGGCCTTGCGCTCTGCTTTCCCTGAAGGCAGCCTCTGCCACTGGAGGTCGAGGGGGGCAATTGCTTCCCACAAAGAGACAAGCACAGAAGATACCAGCCTGTAGAGCCTCCCCACAGGGAGCAGTTTAGCTGCTGGGAGCAACAGGCCCTTGGGCACATCTACCGCCACTTACTTCATGAACCACGAGGGGTCCCCCTGGTAATGCCCATCGTTCTTGGTCACAGCCAGGTTGCCCATGGCCATGATGGTCCGCTGGACGGCTGCCATGTCCTTGGCTGGAGGGAAAAGCAGAGCTGGGCTGAGCCCCACTTGGGACGGTCTCCCCGCATTCCCCGCGTGTCTCTAAGGCGGGGGGGGGAGTGTGGCCTGGCCAGGGAACACCCCACCCTGAGAGTGCCCCAGGGGGCCTTTGAGGCTGCCCATTTGAAAGGAGCCCTCCCCTGGCCACCAGTCTGACCAGGAAAGGGGTCCACCTGGGGGCAATTTGGCACCCTGTTTCTGCTGAACATGAAAGGGCCACTCTGGAAGATGGGCTCCCAATCTTTCTGGGACGAGGTGATCACAAATTCTGGCTCTGGAGCAATGGCACAAGCTCCCCCCCTCCCCAGATCGCAGCGTCCCCCCCCCACCTTCATAGAGATCAACCGTCTGGAACATATCTGTCTTCACCACCCCGTAATCCTCGGCTGCCTTCAGAAAGTGGGAGATCTGCTCCATCTGCTTGAAGACCATGGTGGGGGGCGAATCCGGGATCTTCACAGGCTTGGAGCCGCTGGGATAAAGGCTGTTGATGAGCTTCCCGAGGATCTGCCAAGAGAGGAGACCACCTGCAACTCCTGCCGGGGTTGGGCCTGGCCTCCAAGGGCACCCCAAGTCCTCCCAGGCTGCCGGCCGAGGAGCCTCCATACTCACAATGCCGTTCTTCAGCCAGACTTGGAAGCCCAGCCTCCCTCGCTCGGGGCGCCCCACCTCATTCCCACACTGGGCCACCACCCACTGGACTAGGCGCTCCTCCAGCTCATCGTCGTATTTCTTCTCGATCTTGGTCTGGACGTCTCTGGTCAGCCCAAAGGAAGGCCCCTTGTTTGCCATGTCCACAGGACGGGTCTGGGGGAGGCAGTAGGCGAGGAGACTAAGGCAGCTGGGCTGCTCTGCCGGCGGTCGAAAAACACCAGGAGGGAAGGAAGGAAGGAAGGAAGGAAGGAAGGAAGGAAGGAAAGGAGAGAGGGAGGAAGGAAGGCAAAACAATGGGAGGCCACTCAGGCACAGGCTTCCATCTGTTCCCCCCAGACCTCCCCATGGCTGTTAGGCAGAGTGGGGGACCACAGGGAAACAAAACTTCCTGCCCACTTCCTCTTACACCATTCCACCCAGACCCCCCCCCCCCACACACTTAGGCTTCACAAGGGCTCGTCTGCCGCTCAAACCCAGGAGTTTGGTCAGCTCCCCATTCTTTGCCAGGTAGCTGAAGAAGACACGGCTGGATGACTCCCCCGCCCCCCCAACCTCTGCACAGGCAACTGCCCCTTTTCCTAATCTGGCAGCAACAAACAGGAGGCAGATCCGTCCCAAGATCCGGCCATCTTCCATCTTGTACTTCCAGCCGCTCTTGTGCCCCACTCAAGTGGTCCAGTGGTGGCCAGAATCTTCCTGGAGCTGCCCCCTCGCCCTCACTTCAGGCAAAGAGGCGGAAGTCCCAAAGGGCTGCACGGCAGCAGGCAGGGTGTACCCGCTCCCACACCCAGGCCAGGGTGGAGGGGAAGCAGGTGTTGGCCAGCACAGATGCCTTCATGCGCAGGAAGGGGGAACACACCCCTGCCATCCTCAGTGCGCCCAGTCTGGCTGCTCTTGGGCCTGGCCGACCCAGGCTTTGCAGCCTTTCTTCCCCCCTGTCCAGGGCCAAAACTCCAGACCCTTCCAGCCGCCACGCCCCAGCCTGGGCACATTGAGAAAACGCCAGGGAGGTAGCAGCCGCTTGGTAAATCCTGCCACGCCACCCCTTCTCTGGCTTCCGTTCATAGCCTCTGCTCCTCACACAGCCCTGTGGGAATCCCACACGCCCCGTCTCCTGGCCAGCAAGTCTAAGCGCATCCCAGGGACCCCTTGGCAGACCCCAAGGGCCCCACCCTGGACCCTACGGAGGCAGCAGCTTCCTCCTGCCTTTCCAGGCCCTGCTCTCCTGCCAGGGGAGAGGCTCCATTTGGAGCCTCCGGGATGGACCGGCCCCAGCCCAGCTTTTCACTAGAGCCCTGGCTTCCCCCCTGCTCTGCCCCCCTCAGGAACTCTTCCAGGTGGCCCTTCCGGAGCAGAGCAGGCACCCGCAAGGCAGCCCCTGCCGAATGGGCGAGAGAGGCACTTACAGCTGTGCTGGCTCCGAGGCTCCCGAGATGCTGCTCTGCCAGGACTCCGCAGCCCCAGGAGAGGGGCTAAAAGGCTCCGGCCCTCCGGCCCGTGACATCACCGTCCCTCCCCCTCCTCGGTGGCTGAAGTTGCGCACCATATTTGGGGAAAGACTCCAAAGTCGAGCAGAGTTATTGCCCCAAGACATTCTCGGCATGCCTGAGTCCCAGCGGATGCTCGGCCTGGACTGGCCCCGCACAGCGTCTCCTTTTTAGGCAGGGCTCTTCCCAGCCAGGCAGGCCAGCCCTGACCTCATGCCTGTCTCCTGGATGTGGTCACTCAGGAGTTTTGGGGTGCAGAGAGCGAGGGAGGGAGGGAGGGCCCGCTAGGGCCACAGCCCCCTGGAGCAACTGGGGCTCTATTGTAGCCTCCCCCCAGACAAGGTGGGGCCTTCTGCCTGGCAAGCGGAGAGGGGCTGGGGACTGAGCGGATGTCACTGCATCTCAGGGGACCCTGTTCTTTAGGGACACCCCCACCCCATCTCACGGCAGCTGCCCCCCCCTCCAGCCTCCACATTAAATGAAAAAAAAAGGAAGGCAAGGCCATCTTTTATCGCTTGCATTGGGCGGCAGCATCTGGAGAGATCAAAATGCCAATTTTCTTCAACAGTGTTTTATACCAAGAACCATTTCAAAGGAAAACCGTCTCAGCCACAATCCAAAACCAGGAATGGACAAACATGGAGGGAAGGAAGGCCCGATCCTTGAGTGGGGAAAGAGAAGCACTTGGCCTCCTGGACTGGCCCTTCTGATCTTCTCCTGCCCCCTCCCCTGCAGCCCCTGCATCATGGTGACTATCTGCAGAAGCCCCCTCCCCCCCCCGCTAGGAAACCAGGGCCTGCCTTGCTTGGGGGCCAAAACTAGGGAGGCGCCCCCCGGGGCCCCTCAGCTGCGCAGACCTTCAGCCCCTCCGACCTGCATGGAGGAGACTCACCGGCCCACTTCCTCCCCATAGGCAGTGACTACATGGCACCCAAGGGCTTGAGGAAGAGGCGGCGGCGGCGGCACCCCCTGCCAGGACCATGCTGCAGCTGCAGCCGGTGGACAGAGGGGGATCGAGGGGCCGTTACTCCCTGTTCAGCAAAGAAGGCAACTGCGTCCCAGGGGGAGGCTCTTTTGGAGGTCAATGCAGGCACCAAGGAAGAGAGCAGTCAGTTTCCGAGGGCTGCCCCACTGAACGGGAGCCCAGCTGTTCCGCTTGCAGCCTCTCCCCAGAGTTGTGGGCAGTGCTGGACCCCGACAGAAGGGGATTTTCTCTCTGCTGTTGGAAAGGGCCAGAGAGGCAACCCTGGTGGCATTTGAACCCATCGCCCTGGCTGGCTCAGCTTTCGGAGGCTCAGGATGGCAAGCACATTCCCCTTCCGCAGACTCTCTTTTGATGTGTTGGTGAGGGGGGAGCCCACAGCTGTGGCCCCAGCACCTGCCAGCAGGAGACCTGTCCAGTGAACAATCCCGGCCTCCCTTCCAAGGAGTCTCTAGGCACTCTCAGAAGACATAAATCTTGTCACGCTGGACGCAATCGAGGTCATCATCCAGTGTCAGCAGGACCTATGCAAAGGGAAGGCGCCATTAGATGCCCCTGGAGGGGAAGGCGGGGGAGGGTCGATGCTGGGCAGTCCCCTGCGAGCCCCCCACTCCAGCATATCTCCAACAGCAGTCAATCCCCCTTTCTCCCCCTCCTCCCCCAGGCTAAAGCCACGTCGTGTTCCACTCTGGAGCACTCTGCTTCTTCACCCAAGAGATCCTGACTGAAGCAACTGAGTGGTCTTAAGAAATGTGACTGCCAAGGAAACGGATCAGGCTCTGGACTGCGGGCAGGATATGTGCTCCACCTCTGGCTGGAAAAGGGGCTGCAACACAGGCGCAGGGCTGGCTGCTGCTGGCCCTGGAAAGGCCAGTCCGGTCCAAGCTCTCTACCCAGCACTTCTTCCCACTCCTCTGGGGAGGAGGCAAGCCCCACAGCTCCCAGGAAGGGGCCGGTCAGCAATGGGTCGTGGCGCTTTCAGCTCTGGCTCTGCAGGTTCTGGGCCAGCCAAGTTGGCTGGAGACACGTACCAGGAAGGAGCCAAACATGGCGATGGAAGAGAGGAAGTGCCAGACGTCGTGGTCGTCGAAGAAGGCCAGCAGGACGCACTCCCGGTTGTGCTCTCGGGACTCGGCCGGCGTTTTCTGGGGAGAGCAGTGACCAGCCGGGCTCAGGATGGGCAGCAGGCCGGAGGACGGGGCCAAGCACAGGGCAGGCCGGCTGCTCAGCAGGTGCTCGTCTCGCCCACTGCCTGCACGGCCCAACCGCCGTGCAAGAGCCCAGCCAAGAGGGCGAAGGGTTAGGACCAAGCCCCCCAAGGAGGAAGCCCAGCTTCGCCTTGCCTGGACGCCAAGCAGCCCCAAGGCAACCCAGCCCCCCTCGGGGGCTGAGAGAGGCTGCAACCACGCCCCCCTGGCCTGGGTGAGCTCACCTGCCAGGTGCTCAGGCCCTGGAAGAAGAAGAAGAGGGCGAAGCCCCACACCACGGAGGTGCAGACAATGCAGAGCAGGGAGACCGGCAGCAGACGCTCGCCACTCCGGAGCTGCAGGAAAGGGAGTGGTCAGGGGGGCCATCGGGGGGGGGTGTCCCGGGGAGGCCCTCCCCCCCCTCCAGAGGAAAGGCACCTTCATGATGATGTAGAAGGCAAAGTAGAGCAGCAAGTTGCAGATCCCGATGGCCAGCAGGTAGGAGGCAAAGTCGTTGGGGCGCATGATCAGCCCATAGGCCGCCCTGGGCAGAAGAAGGGGGTTGAGAGCAGCTGCCGGGCCAACCACCAGCCCTCCCAGCTGGGCCCCTAACTCTCTTACTCCCCTCAGGAGCATTGAGAGAGACTCCCCAGTGGGTCTCAAGGCCCCAAAACAGCCTCTGGAGACGCTGCCTGTAAAGTGGTGCCAGGCATCCTTTGGCCCAGTGGGGGGGGGGGGGGGGGGGGGGGGGGCGGCCCCTCACAGAGACCAATTGATGAGGTTCCCCATGACCAGCAACACCATCCGATCCTGTAGACAGAAGCGGGTGGGGGGGGGAGGCAATTGGTGAGGCCTTCAGGAAGAGAGATTCCTTCCAGGAGCAGTTGAAAAGAGGGAGGGGGCCACTCCCCCTCACTCACCGTGTACATGGGCCCGCTGCATTGTCGGATGCAGTCTGTGTACAGCACATGGAAGATCCGGCGCCAGGTGCCAGAATCTGGGGGGAGATGGAGACGCTGAAGACCCCCAGAGAGGATGGGGTGGGTCTACGTCCTAGCTGGCATTGGCAATCCCCCTCGTCGGCTGTCCCACCCCCCACAGCTCGCAGGTAAGAACTGGCAGCCGCCCCCTGACTGCACCGCTCACCCAGTTTCCAGCGGCCCATGTAGTACAGCTGGGTGCTGAGCAGCAGCGTGGACAGGATGTGGATGACCGAGAACACGATCCAGAAGGCCGTGTTGCCTTTGCCAAAGACCTGGGGGCCAGAGAGCCCTTGAGCAGCAGAACTGGCAGGGACAGAGGCTGCAAAGGGGGCGAGGGGGGGGCTCCTTTTTGGGAAACTTCTCTCCTTGAACTCAGGGACACAGCGTCTCCTGCTGGGTGGGGGGTGTCCCAGGGAAGGCGTCCCCAGTTCTGCACACCTTTAGAGGAGCCCCCTCTTGGAGGCGGCTGGGGCTCCCCTGCTACCTCCGGGACTCCCAGCGCCTCCCTCCATTTCCCTCAAGGATTAACGCCCTGTGGGAGCCCAGAGGTGCTGCCGCTTGTGCTCACTCACCACCCCCACGACCGAGAAGAAGATGATGACGGCCAGGCAGGCGTAGGCGCTGTAGGCGCTGGCATTGATGTCCGGGTGCCTCTTCTGGTACAGCTTCAACATGCACAGCCCGGCAATCATGTACATGAACGACGTGTCTGCCACAGAAGAGCCATGGCTGAGCCCAGGGATCCCACCCGGGCTGGGGCTTCCGGGGGCCCTTCTCAGTCCTTGGGAGCTACAGCACCAGGCCGCCCACCCAGGGACCAGGCAGGGAGCCACTCACCAAACTGGAAGTTGGTGTAGTTGGGGCACACGTGGTAGCATGCGCTCAGGAGGCCTTCCATCATGAGGGCGGTGCCCATGGCGTAGAAGAGGCCGAAGTGTTTGGGAATGCCACACTCCTGCAACGGGACGCCCCGTCTGAGAAAGGAGCCCCCGCTCAGCTCCCCTTTCCAGGCCGAGGGGGCGGAGGGGAAGAGGGGCGAAGAGTCACGGGCCCCTCCCGGGCCCTCGGGAGAGAGCGGCCTTGTTGGCAGCGGGTGCCTCACCACAGCCTGGAAGTCGTTGCGCATCAAGGCCCGGTTGTAGCCGATCTCACGCTGCAGGATGATGAGCAGGAAGAGCAGGCCCAGCAGGACGTAGCCCAGGTTGCTCAGGATGTTGTTGAAGGCGCTGGAGGGGCGGGAGGGGCAGGGTCAGGCCCCACGGGCTGAGGGGGGGCAGGCGGGGGCCACCCTCCCGGCTCCTACCTGAGGTTGCTCAGAGGGTGGGCGCAGAGGAAGTTGTAGTAGCAGATGTCCTGGTTCCCAGTCACGTTCACCACCTGCAGGAGGCAAAGGAGGGGCTGGCCAGGGGTCCAGGAGGGCTCGAGCCAAGGAAGCCACGGGGCTCCAGGCCAGGCTTAGCTTAGGACAGGGCCAAAGCAAGGGTGGGCAGTGCTCTGAGGGGAAGGCTGGGGGCTGTGTTACCGTCTGGTAGGTGATGACCAGCTGGACGACCGGCAGGGCGTAGAAGACAGCGATGGTGGCAATATTCCTGCAGCGGAGGAAGGGGACGAGAGGACGTTCTCCATTAGAAGACCCTGGTCAATTGCCCTGGCAATGCGCAGCCAGGGGAGTCTATGGGGGACACACAGCCAGCCCCAGTCCCACCCAACTATCTCACCAAAAGTAAATCTGGTATTTCTTCCGTAATATTCGCTTATCTTTGCGGGCCAGATCTGCCACACACAGGAACTTCTGCAACACACACCAGCATCTTGCTGAGTTGAGGTCTCGTGACAAGACGCCAAATTCCCTCGCCTCCCCTGGAAACCTCCCATTGCGGAGCCTCAACCTGGCAGCATCTCCAGGAGGAGGCTCCTGCAGGTAACGAGGGGCACTCAAGTCGCCCCTGGGGCTCACACGGACCACAAACTGGTCTTCCCTCAGGCCCAACTTTCACAGCCCTTCGGAAAGGCCTCACCGCATCCAGAGCCCTTCTCAGCCTGCTTACGCAGGACGGGCCCAGTTGCCTTGCAAGCTCCCCCCCCCAATCCAGGCCGTGCAGAGCCCTCCAACTGAGGGGCAAAGGGTTCGCAGCCCTCCTGGGCCCCTCCTCAAAGGAGCTGCATTTTTTCCTGGGCTTTGCAGCAGCAGCTGCAGCCCCCCCCCCCCCCCCCCCCCCCCCAGGAAAGG